CTATAGTTCAAACCTAATGTCACAACCCTTTAAACGAATTAACGCAGGGCAGAGACTAGGACTCAAACAACAAGATAATCACAAAGAGGATAAGGCAGCAGGTACGTCTTGGATTGCTCACTTGGAGATACAAGAGGTTTGAACTAAAGAACTACTGACTACGACGAGCTACCTATATACACATATTGAAACTGAGATCGAAACTGAGTATGAACTAACTAACCAATCAAAATAATTAAAGGTATCGTACGATTCTATATATAACTATGATGTCATAACATGTGCCGCAGCCGCAGTAAGACTCTGGAACATTCCAAGAGTGTCGCGAGGCATGACGTCAACATCTTCGGTATTGTCCGATCGATCACGTGACTCTGGTAATTCTACAATAGACGCAATAATAGGAACTTCCTCAACTGTAAACATATTCTTAGGAACAGGCGCTGTGACTGGGCGCTTAAAGGACTTAGAATTAAGGAACGAATAATGGTTTGTATTTGGAACTCGTGACAATGGTACACAGAGTGATGCTGCGAGTTGGTGCTGTATACTCCCTAGTGTAAAGCGCCATATCACACTATGAGATGCACGAGTCTCTACATCTCCCAGGGACTTAAATTCTGAGTGTCCCCACTCAGCGCGCGCATGGTGAGGATTTTGCGTGATAGTATGTGTGCGCGATGCCTGTATGATGCTTGGGTCATTGGGCGATGAATGCGCAAGTGCAGGAATTATTGTGTGGATGTGCGTGAAGCGCAGGAAGTTGCGCGCATGGTACGCGCGAGGCGCGAGAATGTGCGCACGCTATGCGTGAAGGCGCGGGAATGAAGCGTAGCATGGTGGGTTGCGAGGGTGACTCTGGTATGAATAGTGCGCCATGGGTGTGGGGTGATGATGCAAGGGTGATATGGATGTGGCGCGCGAAGCATGAGCGAGACGCGCATGTACAGCGTGAAGCGCGGGAAAGCGCACGCGCACAAGGCGCAAGAAAGCACGTGAGTGTCGCGTGTGTTGTATTGTGCATATGATGCGAAGTGGTGCGGTCCAAGAGCGATCCAATCCAAGTCCAAACCAAGTCCTGCTAGGCGCGCTAAATATTAGGTGGTAAGGTTTGAACAGTGTGAGTAAAACTATATGTGAAAATGCGAAGGAAAAAATGGTAAACTTTGCGGATGTCCTATCCGACTTGTCTTCTTCGTGCAGCTGTCGACATCTACACCTTCCTATGAGCGAGGCGCGGGAAGCGCACACGCGCGCGCATGAGGCGCATGGGCGCGGGAATATTGCGCGCATATGCGTGCGTTCTAAGGTAAAAAGAGCATGGTGCCGCGTCATGCATGCGAAGAGAAAATAATACTATTGAGCTAGGCGGACACAATCTAAGGTTGTTTTCTTGTATGTTCTTCTAGGCAATCCCTATATGCATATATATCAGTGAGTTATTAGTCCTTGGGACGGCATTATAATGAGAGAAACAAAAATGAAAGCGCACTGGACGAAACCCAGGGTAAAATGAATGATATCCTATGAAACAACAATGTTATATGTTGTTCTTTGATGCGCGGCTGAGGCGCTTGATCCTCCTCCTTGAGCGCGTGCGAGTGCGTGTGACTAGCGCGCTTCGCGTCTCTTGCGAGCTGACGCTTTACTCAAGGTAGGGTTGGAATGAGCGAGGCTGGCGCGCTTGGGGGGGCTTGTAACTGGCAGAATGAATTCCTGCACAACGCGCTGCAGGTTGAAGGCGCGCCAATGGGAGGCGCTGCAAGGGGTGTAGGGGCGCCCTACAAGCTGATAGGATGCGCGCGATGTGCGCGCCTTGGTGCGATTTCGCGCGAATTTAATTATATTGGCCGAACACGCGAGGAACGGCCATTTCTCTGCAAATGCATTAGCGAGAGACATGTATAGTGAAGAATTAGGCGCAAATGTTGCACCAATGGGCTGTAAGGGTGGTATATCAAGGCGCAATAGGCGCATAGGTGAAGGAGAATAGTGCGCATCAAGGCGCGCAGGAATGAAATTGACATGGTAAGCAAAAGCGCGCAGAATGTGAATAAATGTGGGAAGTGCAAAGTTAAAGATGATGATAGGGGAGTTAGGCGCATATGTATGTGTCAGGCGCGCGCCTAAGTCGCGCCTGGATGGCTGATTGAAATATACTTTGTGTTGAATGATAGAAATGCGGTTTAGAAGGGGAGAAGCGATAGAAATGCGGTAGCGTGAAAACTCTGCTAAAATTATGAGTGCGCGAGGCGCGGGAACGCGCGCACATATTGCGCGATGCGCGTGATCATGGCGCGTGAATAAGGGGTGGTGCAAAGATGAAGTTACAGTGATTGGAAGCATCATATAGCTCCTTAAGAGCTTTAAACATGAAAGAGACAGAAAACGCGAAACAAGATGAGGAAAAATATACAATGCCTCTAGGCGCGCGCATTGCGCGTCCTCAGGCGCAATATGGTGCGCCTGAGTTGCGCCAGGGTCGCCTGAGACATGCTCTGCTTGGTGGTTGTGCAGCGTGATGCACGGATGTTTTACCGGTGCGCGATAGTCACTGGAAGCAAAAAGCGCGACATGCGTGCAATCGTTAGTGACAATTGGAGTTACCAGAGGCAAACTCTGGTTGATGCAAGGTGCAACTTGAGCCTCTGATGCGGTAGGAGGCTCCTCTATAGGCGCGCTAAGGTGCAATAGATGTTTAGGGTCATCCCTGACCTCTAATGATGCGAGCAGTGATGGTGATGGTGCGATTGGCGAGGTTTCTTCCTTAAGCGATGCGATAGCGAGGGGCGAGCGTGTTTCTAGCGGTGCATTAGTGTGCAATAGATGTTTAGAGTCATCCCTGACTGCTGGCGAGGTGATAGCAATAGGCGCGCGCGATGCGATAGCGATAGACACGCGCGATGCGATAGCAATAGGCGCGCGTGTTTCAACTGGCGCGTTAGTGTGCAATAGATGTTTAGAGTCATCCCTGACTAGCGATGCGATTGGTGATGATGGAGATTGCGAAGGAGATGATGCTGATGGTGAAGGTGAAGAGGCGCCTGCGGTGTGCTTCTGGTTGCGCTTAGCAAGCGCGCGCTCGAGTTCGTGATCTAAAGTGGTGCATTCTGGTATGGCTTTGCATGCTGGTGCAGTTAATGGTTGAGGTGCGCGTGATTCGCGCGAAGGCGCGGGAAAGGCGCGCGCGTGAGGCGCGTGAATAGGAACTGGTGGCCTTTTGTCAAGTACAGCTTCTGAGGGTGCGCGATAGAAGAGTCCAGCTGTTGCGTTAGCGCTAATGGTCGTATCCTGCGTTGCGCGACTCGCGTGGTATTGATCTTTGTACTTAGCCACTTTAGCTTGCACTGGCACAGTTGCTGTGACTAAGGTGGCAATTGGTGCTACTATGGGCGCGCTAACTGGCGCGCTTGGCGTGGGAAAAGCGCGCGCAGGTAATAGGAACTGCGCAGCTGCGAAGACGTCCATGAATGGGTATGGGTCGTATGGGTGGTGGTCAGGGAACTTGATCATAAGGCGCAAGCGGATTTGCACCTGAGCATCGCTAGGGATTTTTTCCATGAATAAGTGGTCGCGTTCGGCCTTTCCAATACGGTCTTCGTCCATGAGTGGCTGCATAATCTTCCTGAATGCGCGCAGGTAATTGCTTAATTCTGTGCAAGAGGGCATTGGTTTGTTAGCGTATTCGCGCGTGATGGCGCGCAAGTCCGCGAGCGCATAGCGTCTTTTACCATCCCATCCAGGATACATTACCTTTACCTCGTCTAAGAAGGCGTCGTAATCGCTTACTTGCGCCTCAGGCATTCCGCCCCATAGTTCTCGATCGTCGCGCTCAAGGTAGCGGATAATACCTTTGATGCGGTCGAGTCCTTGGAGTCCTGCATCATCAGCGAGCTGCTCATAGGTGTCAATAAACTCGGCAAGGTTGTCTGTAGTGCCATCAAACTTGGGCGCGTTTGCTGTGCCGCGGATGGGCATTCTGAAGGGCATTGAAGTGCGTGAAAGGTGCGCGCGCAAGGCGCACAGGGGTGGGAAAGCGCGCGCGCAAGGCGCGAGAATGCGTGACTAGAAATTGGTTAGCTTTTGAATATGCAAAGAGATTGACCTTTATGCGTTAAATAGTGTGAAGTGCGAGAAAGGTGCGCGCGCGAGGCGCACAGGCGTGGGAATATTGCGCGCGCGCAAGGCGCGAGAATGCGTGACTAGAAAATGATTAGCTTTTGAAATGCAAAGATATTGACCTGTATGCGCGAAATGCGCGGAACTAGATCTTGCTGACTGCTCCCCTCGCGGTGGGCTCCAGTTGTAGAAACAACAATACTGAGAGGAACAAAGAAATGCTCCTGACTGTATCTAAAAAGTTGTAGGTCGTGCGTTGCCTAGTCTGCGATACTTGAGATGGCAAGTGCATTCGACCCTAAAGGGGAAGCAGGTGCAGCGGAGATCTAGAGGTACGCGCTTCAGCGAAGCGCGAGAAAGCGCAGGTGCACGCAAGGTACGAAGGCGCAGGAACGCGCGCGCGTATTAGCGCGAAGCGCGGGAAAGCGCGCGTGTGTAAGCGGAAATAAGAGAGACTAAACTTATGTGAAGATATAAGCAAGATAAAGGATGTGAGATGTGTTGTGCTAATGAATAGATTTCTACTGCGACTTTCTAAGTAGTAAGTACTAGGTAAAGTTGGGTGAAAAGTAAGGTAAATAATAGTATGTACTGCTGGCGCTTATATAGCGCGCCTAAGCGCGCTCATGCGGAGACGAAGCGCTACCGAGTAGGTATGTAAAAATATATATGAGTGAGAAACTATGATAAAAATAAAGGTGGAACTATGCTAATAAAGGAAATGGAAATATACGCACTAGGGAGCTTGGTGGACAGTGGATGGATGCATCTGGATGGCTGGCGCTATAGGGCGCGCAAGCGCGGGAACGCGCGCGTGCGTATACATCGTGAAGCGCGGGAATGGTGCGCGCATGGCGCGCGTTGCGCGGGAAAGCTGCGCGTCATATAGGAATCACTGTGGATGGTACACAGAGTGATGCTGCGAGTTGGTGCTGTATACTCCCTAGTGTAAAGCGCCATATCACACTATGAGATGCACGAGTCTCTACACCGCGAGCAATACCAAGGCTGATGTTAGCTTTGTGAAGCCTCTGAGCAGTACGCTTATCCATACTACTATAGAGCTCTTGTTCGATCATCACACGGCGTAGGCGACTTCGGATAAGTCGAGACTCTGCCCGACGCTCTGATTGTCTCGCACTGATAAGGCGAATAGTGATATCGCTATCATAGCGTGTCTCCCAGAATGGGGGAAGACACAAGGTGTCCATCTATCAATCTTCATTACTTATCGCACAACGATATGCAGAATTATCGCTCACGGGTGGCAGCTCTTGCAAAACCGCTTCATGGGATGTGGGTGGAGAAGGGTATGCCTCTTGAGGCTGTTGTGAGACATTGTTACGCCAGGCCAAAAAGTTGGTCTTTTCATGGCCGAGTACCAGGTTCGAGGCTGACAAATTAGCGCATGAGGCGCCTGGATACTCATGTCTCATGGGGGAGAGAGGTATAGGAGAAGGATTGATTGTGGAGGTCATTGTCGATGAAAGCCGTTCGGTGAGTTTTGTCTCCTCTTATCCTTCAAGTTCAAAGTACTTGGGAAGTTGACGGATCTTTCCACCAGATGACACGCACTACTTCAAACTATCACGCTGCCATATTAGGTAGTGGGACTTCGTGCACCCCTGGGGGTACTGGTTTTGTTTTCCTTTTTTCAAAAAAAAGGAAATTACTGAAAGTCGCAAACGCGATTACATCTTGAACAGCGATCAGGAGCCGCCGACTCAGTTGTTATTTGAGCACGAACCAATCCTTACTAATACTAGTGGAGAAGCGACTCAATTTGAGTCAGTCTCGCGGCCACTGAACCGAATTTGTCTGAACTGAAAATTTTCGCTTTGGTACCGACCTTCTAATACATCATGATAACACCCCGAACCTTCAAATTGCTGAAGCCGTTTCCCAGGAACTGATCAACGTGTTACTGTTGTCTGCGGGTGTTGTCTAGCAGCGGGACCAAATATGAGTAACGGGTTTATCCCTACGATAACCTCACATTGATGCGATTTTTGAAACCAAATGAACGACAAGTAAAGAACGAGGTGCACGGTGTCCTGCAGTGACCGGTAGGTGATATGGACCACATGATTCCCTCATGTTACACAGGACTTGTGCTTCTGCAAAGATAAGTATGCGGACTTCACGAACATGATCTCGCCAAATTAAATGCGTCCGCGAACATGAATGCGCTACCTGCCAGTAAATTAAATAAGTCCGCGAACATGAATCGACAGAAACCGGGCAGCTGCAGCGTTGAATTAGTCAGCGAACATGTACTCCAAAACGGGAGTCGTCACTCAGTTGTAAGTGCTTACTTAATGCAATTCAATAGTAATAGGTAACGCTCTAACTCCTAAGTTCTAGAATCTAACTCGCAGTGTTTACATCATAGTAGAACAGACCTAAGATCTCAGGCTCATCGAGGTAAGACGGTCTTGATGATAAGCCATCGATAAACTGAAATGAGAAATATAGGCGAAAATTTCTTAATAATGCGATGTGTTAAAAATGGCCAACCCCCACTCGCTCATCCGAGTCGTCTGTCCTTAGTTGACTCAGAATTTACCCCACAGCTATCCTTCGAGAATGTCATTTCGTGTTGGATATATATACAATCCTGCAACGACTACACACGGTCCAGTCATACTTGACTGGGTTAGTTGCTTCGTGAGTTTTCAGTTTTTGACATGTTTCGAGCCTGTCTTTGATCATATTTTATTCTAGCAATTTACTGTCGACTCTGGCACGTTCCTAAAAGTCGCCTACGTATTGCCCGTATCATATGCGCAGACGTTGGGCTCAGAGGCCATTTACGAATCCGTTTACATGGTAAGTTACATCCGAACGATCTACAAGACCACTAAATTCTTCTGGTGCAGGAACTTCGTCAAGGTGAACAATCAGAGGGACTAACTCAATTTATTATCCCGACTGGCTGGATAAGGGTCTGCATGTATACTGATCGTGACCTCGTTACAAGGCCTGTATTACAGGTACGTACATCATCTAATGTGTAGCAGGCAAACTAACATCTTGACAGAAGGTTGCAGAGGCTGAGACAGAAGGATCCCTTTTCCGATCAGATGGTCCTTCGTTTGACGGCGCTTCGTTTGAAGACAGCGACTTCTTATCCGCATTCAACGATTGGATCGACACCTCCTCAGTTCCTGCCGTAGGTGGCACTACATCTCCAGTCTCTTCTGGGGTGGAGCTACTTTCCCAAGTTCCTGATGACGAAGGTGTCCCGTCGTCAAATGGTCCAGGTTCCATGTTCACCACATTCCTTCTGACACCACTTTTCAACGTCACTGCTAGCGGTCAAAGTTTGCCTGGAGCCTCAAGCTTGCAGCGTTATGTGTTATGCACCCCAGCCGATTTTAAGGCTGGGATCATTTATGATTGCGACTTCCTCGCGGCTCACTTTCCTTTTGCACATGTATGCATACAGGATGCCAAGGCTCTGGCTAAGAATTATCTCACCATTTGCTGGCATGGACATGGATTCATTCGCCGCGTATTGCACTCAGGCTATCGAAGAAATGTTGACCGTGGCAAACAGTGCCGGTCAACCAGCGGAGTCAGGTAGGAAAGAATACTATTGATGTCTACCCGGATCGGCTTACCTTGTGCTGGCAGGTTTTCGATGCTGCATAACCCAAAAGACCAAAGATTTAAATCTATACAGTCGGGACGCAATCAAAATAGTGCGTCTTGAATCTAGCTGTATTCAAATGTTCTGATACAGACCTAATATAGGTATCCTCGGAGTACGACAGATTCAAGAAGGCCTTGAAGGACAACTCGCACCCTCTCGTCAACTGCAAGAAAAAACTTCGATTGGATGGTTTTGCCTTGAATACCAAGCGTCCCCATGAGATCATTCCCTACATCACTAGCATCACTGGCTTAACAGCTTGGAACGGCACCGTAACCTCATTAGAATTCACCAGATCTCCGGACGGGGTAGTGTTATTTTCTTGTCAGAATTGATGTCTAATATCGCTAATCTCGCACCCCACAGAATCTATATCGACGCAAGACAATTCTAATCTTACTGGCATATCGGATCTTGAAGGTGGTTCATCAGCACAAATCCAACCGGTCCCTGCTGGAACTATTCCCTCATCAGTATGAAAGCCTTCCGGAGCACTCTATCGCACTAGTGTGCGCCATGGTACGTAATGCCTCCGATTTTGTGTTTTGAGTCTCATCCTCTTATGTAGTACGTGATACGGTTCAGGCGGGTATTTCCTGGACACGAAATTCACAAAATATCTTCTCCCATTTTGGAAAGGGAGGCATGCCACCAGTTGGTTCTCCTCAGGAGGGCCCGTGAGGGCACCAGTGATGCAGCTGTTGCACTGAATCGGTGGATCAATACGCGTCATGGAGACGGTGGCTGGGAACAGGACCTGTTGAGTGAATTTTATCAAGTTTTTCGCTGACTCACTGGTCCCGTGTGCGCAGGGTATCAGTACTGAGGTTGTCACATGAAAGCCGGGGAGCACGATTCTCCACCAGTGCACCTGCCGTGTGAAGGTTTTCAGTAGTCAGGACGCCATGAGTGACACATATGTACTAGTACTCAATTGTTACATGCAACTTGGACCTGTAGTTGCAAAATTTCAACGAATGATTGTGAAGAATTTTAAGTTAGTTCTGGACCAGTGTCGTCACAATCTCGACATTAACCTTTCTGAGTCGTACTACCGTCTCCGCAACTTGAAGCTGCGTTTCCAATCCAAAGTTGTGTAGTATCTTTAGCACTCTACAGTTCTTGATATCGTCGCACCTACTTGTTCAAGCTAACTAGTACTGGTATCTCAGATTATTTTAGAATTTCCTCGAGTCTGGGCACCCCCGTTTTGCAATACCATCGGAAGACTCCGGATTGAAACTCAAAGGAGTCACTCGGAGGCGGACTCCAAACCTTGATAACAATCTGCCATTCTCCATACTAGTCCTTGCCATAGTGGTGCATCTTTTGATTATCATGGTTAACTGTGCCCTCAGAGTTACAGTGAGAGCTGATTTTTGTCCTAGTGAACATTGTGCCTGTCATATGGCAGACCAACAATCCCCAACTTCAACCACCACAGCGCCATGCCAGTGGCAAGCCCTCTGCCATTCTCCATACTAGTCCTTGCCATAGTGGTGCATCTTTTGATTATCATGGTTGACTGTGCCCTCAGGGTTACAGTGAGAGCTGATTTTTGTCCTAGTGAACATTGTGCCTGTCATATGGTGGACCAACAATCCCCAACTTCAACCACCACAGCGCCGCGCCAGTGGCAAGCCCTTCAATGGAATTTTATGGATGGGAGATTTGGCAAAGACATCAGTATAATCATGTATATCTTCCAATGGAATGGCATGATCATGGCCTTTCTCAAGAGCAGCTGGTGCACGGTGGAGATGACGAGGTTAACCTCAATACAGAGCTGGCAAGCACCTCCCTTCTACATCCTCAAGTTAACCGTTCATCTCAGTATTGTAGCACGCTAAAAGGTACACCTGAAGCAAGGGGTAATGGTATCAAAAGTCTCAAAGGCAGTGCGCTTGATTGGATTACCCCCAAGTATTTCTTAATAATGCGACGTGTTACAAATGGCCAACCCCCACACTTACTCATCCGAGTCGTCTGTCCTTAGTCGACGGTAATGGTATCAAAAGTCTCAAAGGCAGTGCGCTTGATTGGATTACCCCCAAGTATTTCTTAATAATGCGACGTGTTACAAATGGCCAACCCCCACACTTACTCATCCGAGTCGTCTGTCCTTAGTCGACTCGGAATTTCCCCCACAGTTAACCTTCGAGAATGTCATTTCGCGTTCAGTATCTATACAATCCTATAACGAGTACACACGGTCCTGTCATACTTGACTCGGTTAGTTGCTTCGTGAGTTTTCAGTTTTTGACATGTTCCGAGTCTTGGATTCAAAATGATATTTTGTTCTAGCAATTTACTGTCACAATCCTGCAACGAGTACACACGGTCCAGTCATACTTGACTGGGTTAGTTGCTTCGTGAGTTTTCAGTTTTTGACATGTTTCGAGTCTTTGATTCAAAATGATATTTTATTCTTTTTTCTCGGGATTAATCCACACAAACAACGCTGACGATCTAACGAAGGCCTCTCGACGCCAAAACCCAGGACTTTGGTTCGCTGAGCAATGTTCTCAGCAGTGCTTAAGCTTACTGATAACTAACCACAACCGCAGCCAGAAATGGTTAATCATACGCAGCATCGTTGGAATCCGAATAAACATGGGAGCGTCCGTCATCCATTCATCCACCATATGAAGAGCTCCTCCTTATTCCCAATAGTCTCCTGATCTCGCTCAACTCGCGCCAGGAATTGTCAACATATCTCATGGTCTCCTCCAACTCTTGCTCCCTCCGTAACGCCATCAAAGTCAACCAACACTTGTCTTCATCAGTAGTTGTAATCGGCTCGCGCTGCAACGCAGGACGGTGATTTTGAATTCGGTCCTGAGCCGTTTGCGTGGTAGTGTTCCATATCGCCTACAATCTGTTAGTACTGGAATGGTATCTATAGTAGGTGCCACATACGATCGCCGAGTCGCTGACAATTAACGGTCCTGGGACGATTAACGGTTCTGGGGCGATCAACGGTTCTGGGGCGATCAACGGTTCTGGGACAATATGATCCAGTGGTAGTTGCTGGTGGGTGGATCCGATACGGTTAGGCAAGTTACTAGGCAGAATTTCGAGAAAATGCTTACCGCTGGCCCTTGCGCTTGAGGATTACGCTGATCGTTATGTTGTAGGCTGAAAAACCCGTTTTGCTCCATGGTATGTGGCACTTGATCTTTGCTGGTGCTAACGCTCGTCGCGGCTGTACCAGTGGCAAATGAAGCTGAGTTAGAATGTTTGCCTTTTTGGATATCCTTCAAGCGGCCGGCGCCACTCAGACTCACGAATTTCCAATTCAATTGCAATTTCATTTTTTCAATGTCAATGGAACAACAGTCGTCCGATGGGAGTTCAAACATCCGTGTTAGTCCTAGTGCTCGAACACTGTCAGTTGATCGTTTAGTATTTTATTCAGAACCGCTCCTTCGTACTCGAGAGTCCTGTGGCAAGAGGGCTGTACTGCTCACCTTACCAAGGTTGAGTCCGGAGATCCTCGAGGAGTTCAAACATCCGCATTAGTTCTAGCGCTCGAACACTGTCAGTTGATCGTTCATTATTTAGATTTGATTGTTGACAGTTCCCATAGTAGGTTTCCGGCTAGCCCTTTTTTTGGGGGGTAGAACGCCATGCAAACGCCATGTTGACCACCCTTGCTGCAAGATGGCGTTCTATCATACGCCCTATCACGCCCTATCACACGCCATCACCCACCCTATCATGTTGTACCATGACGTGGAACTAGGGCCCGCAGAAAGAACACGGAGGAGCAGAATCACGAGTTGGGCCTTGATGAAGGCGAGCAAGGACACTGTCCAGCCCAGGATCCCGGGCCATGTCATTGCGAAGTTCAAACGTGGCTGCAGAAGGTAATACCGTATGAGCACAGCCACATACAGTCTATTTCTTACGCGGCCTCTGCGATAAGTTATCATTCATTTCCCTTCCCTTTCGACTTTCTCTAGTTCTTCCTCGTCGTCTTGCACGATGACATGCACACATGATGCCGATGCATCAGCCACGCCCGACGAGCGATGCGGTTTACTCTTGAAAGATGATGACGCTATCCAACCTGATGTCGAGCAGCAACCCACTTCCCCTGCCCCCTCACACAAACGCAAGCGTTTTGCTGGATTCAGTGTTCTCCTCTCGCTTATTCTTTCTGCCACCCTATTTGAACTCTGGCCCCGTACTCAACATGACACGAGAACTGGCCGGAACGCATTGTATTCGAATGGAACGCACGAGTTCAAGAAGACAGTGCTTATGGTGTCGATCGATGGTCTTCGTGCGGATTATTTGGATCGTGGACTCACGCCGCATTTACTAGATATCAGTCGGGAAGGTATAAGGGCAAAGTACATGAAGCCTATTTTCCCCGTGCGCATTCCCTTTCGGTTCTTTGCTCTAACACTAAACACTTCCCTCTCTGCAGACTCTGACGTTTCCGTGAGTCATAATTTATTGAAGTAATTGACACATATGAATGACGTTTGTTTCAGAAATCACTGGGCATTGATGTAAATATTACCCGTATATTGCTCAACACGAGTTTATGCTACATCTAGGACTGGCCTCTACAGCTGAGTCGCACGGCATCATTGCGAACATTTGTCCTTTACCACTTTCTTCAACTGCCTGGCATTCTCACATTGGCCATGTAGAACTTCTGGGACCCCGTTTTCCAAGACACATTCCATTATGCTCGTGTTGAATCCGCGCAGAACCCGAGCTGGTGGCTTGGTGAACCTGTCAGTACCCACCAAATTGTTTTTGTATGCCCGCTTAATATGTTTCCTTTCACCTCTTGTAACTTTGCACGTCCGTCTCGTCACTTGACTGATACATGTCGGCCTCCCTGTCCTCTGCATTTCCTGCCGTTTGTACAAATTAGGTGTGGGAAACCGCCGAACGTGCAGGCATCATCACCGCAAACCTCATGTGGTCGGTTTTCTTCCCTCTGTAACTTAATCTGCTCTTTATTCACTTGACCAGGCCTGGTCCTTGGTCTACATCCTCGGGCGTGAACTCTACGTATTTTCTACCTTGGGAGGTAAGGGTATAGTCTTGGACTCGAAACAGGATACGACATGATCTGAAGTGGAACGCAGAATAATTACGCTCTCGAGAAGAAACTTTCCAATCTCTTAGAGTGGGTTGACCTCCCGCTGGAAGAGCGGCCGCAGCTTATTCTTGGTGTGTTCTTGCATCTATTTTCTTTCTCTGCTTCTAGACCAGTATACTTCTTTTGCTCTAAGCCGAGCGATGTTTATTTCTTCTGCTTGTCATTTCGTCCTCGTCGATTCTCTCTTGTGACATGCTGATGTCATTGTTTCATAGGGTATGAACCGTCGCTAGACCAAGCTGGCCATGCGACAGGGCCAATGTCCAAGGCCGTTAATGTAAGCATTGCGTCAATTCCATTGGTTGATGTACTTATTTTCATTTTCAAAACTTGCTACTTAATACAGATGAGTCTCGCAGCTATCGATCTTTTCGCTCGGAACCTAACCCAAGCACTGGGCGAGCGCAACCTCACTCATATCGTTGATATCATTTTCGTCAGTGACCATGGGATGATGGACACCAGCCACCCGACTTGGATATATGTTGACGAGATTGTTGGTCAGTCGTGGAAAGGTGTTACCAGGGTGGACGGTAAGTAATTCCATCATATAGTCTGTTGCTTGCCAGAATGTTTAGACTAAGTGGCGGATTGCTTACTCTGCGCTGTTCAGGTTGGCCATCCATGGGCTTACGCTTCGCTCCTGGCACGAACGTGACCGAGGCCCTTGAGCGTCTGTGCGAGTACACACTTTCCCACCCGGATCAGTTCGATGTGTTCACGACTGAGAGCTTCTCCACCGACCCCGGCACCTCCTTGGTAGACCTCGACGTATTCAACTACGGTAAGATGTCTGCAGGCACAGTGGAGCCTATGCCCGAACGATACCATTTCTCCCACAATTACCGCATCGCCCCTGTGTGGATTGTCCCGCGCACAGGCTATGCGCTGACTGATCACACGGACGGCGAAGATGGAATGTCAACTGGAGTGAGTTCACCTTAGCGTATCTGTAGGTCATTGAGCTAAGACATTGCGCCTTCCTAGAACCACGGCTATGACAACGAAGACCCGTCGATGCATGCCATTTTTGTCGCACACGGGCCTTTCTCGCAGGGCGCGAAGGCGGCTGTGGTCGCACGAGGAGAGGATGATGGCACAGGAGAATACGTCATGCCAGGGTTCCAGAATGTCGAGATCTACAACGTCGTGATGCGACTGCTGGGCCTCGACACTACAGATACAGCTACAACCAACGGAACCGCTGGATTCTGGGATACATTTGTCTTACCAGATGCTTAAACTTCGTCCAGTCGCTAATTCCTTCCAATCCCTAACACCTTCTTTGTTTCATCGAGCTCACGCCAAGCTTTTTCTAGCTCCCTGAAACTCTCCTGCAACTCTTGCTCCTTCTTAAGTGCCATCAACGTAACCCAGCACCTCTCCTCCGTTGTAGTGTGAACAGGATCGATCGGCAACATCGAAAGGTAGTTTTGGAGGCGATCTTTTGCTAATGCTACAGCGGTATTCCAGATCACCTAAAACTATGTCAGTTTAGCGTGATATCCGAATACTATGTGTACGTACGATTGACGATTCGTTTATGATCAGAGGTCCTGGTATCACTGGCACGACAGGTTCCGGTTGAGCGCTTGGCTAATAGCATTTAGTAGGCAGCGTGATACTTCGCTAATAGACTTACCGTCAGTTCCGGTTGTGCTTGAAAGTAGTTATCCATGTAGACTCGAGGATTGTAATATACGACGTTAATGATTATCGAGTTGAAGGTCCTACTAATTACTATAAGCTAGTACGCGCATGCTTGCCTTTTTCGGCACAAATATCTGCAAAGTTTCCCATCCGGAGTCAAACAAACGGCGGTTGTCCGAGATCGTCTGACTATCATTCAACTAGTTGGAATACCCTCAGCTCCCCCCATATACTACGCTTCTCCAGCCAGAGCCCGAACCACCGCAGTATACTCTCCCAGAGACCTTCAACATCTGACGTTGCAGCACCCAGCACCTCCGAGTCCGCCCAGATCAGCTTAAGGCCGAAACTGGGGAGGAAAGGTTGAACGTGGTGGAAAAGGTGAAGGCAATCCTGATGCGTGCGTCGTTCCCTAGCCAGCATAGCTACATCAACTGAAGCCCAGTTTTCCATATTCCAGACCAGACCTCCTCGAGCCCCATATCCTCCGTTCTCTCAGCAATATCGAAATTGCTTCCATACACGCGTCATGTTGCAGGTGTCGATTCGTGCAAGCGGCATGTGGACGTAGTCATTCCTTGTTAGTAGGCGACGATGGACAGGTCTGGTCTGCGGGTGCCAATAACTTGGGTCAGGTGAGTCGTGCTTTTAGTTCGCGATCTTTGTTGCATAGGTTGACCGGCTGGGGTATGTCAGTGCGGACATCCAGTCACTGCGCGGTCCACTTTCGAAGCCATTGAAGGGCCTTTTCTCGATGGTGAAAGACTGCACGTCATCAAGGCAGCAGTGGGCATAACATTTTCCATTATACTTACCGATGACTCGGGCAAAGGTACGTACCCCTTAACGTATTCTGTTCCTCTGCTAGCTGACGCCCTTCAGTCTTTTCTTTTGGCAGTGGCGAGAAGGGATAATTAGGGTAGGACAGGAGAACACATCATTACCGGAAACAAGACAGCGTTTGACATCGAGACGGAGCCTGGTGAGCTTCGACACTCATTTTGCAACATCACCAACTGATCTGTTTATAAAGTACCCGTGAAAGGACTTGACGAAAAGACTATCATAGACATTGCGTGCGGACCGCAGCACAGTGTAGCCCTCGACTCCCAAGGGTAGGTACCATCTAAACTCAGCCATACGTCACTCAAGTGCTATTAGCCTCGTGTACGTGTGGGGTTATAACGGCTACTGTCAGCTTGGTCTGGGCAACCAACAGGACGTCCTCATCCCTAAAGTAGTTCCAAATGTACGTGTTGCTTCTGTTGTCCCTCGTGAGCTAGCGTTGAAATAGCTTGACTTAGTTTGCCGGACCGAATGAAATACCAATGGGCGCTCATATCATCGCCGGCCCTTCTGACGACCTCATCGGTCTCATCTACAGCTGGATGCGGAAGACACCACGCGGATCTCCAAGCCGAAACCTCTCGCTCATTTCACCAATTACTTTCCTAACCTTATCGTATGCCACATCACTTTGAATATTGTCCCGCGCTCGTTGAATGGTGTGCCAGGATAACCCTGATCTGCTAACCACTTATTTTTGTTGCAATAAATATGAGTCTCCTGGCTCGTTCTTCGTGCCCTGGAAAACACTACCAGATGGACAGAGATTAGGCAGGTTGTTCCTTGAGATAACTGACGTAGCTAACGTCGCGTGTAGGAATCCGTAATTTCGTTGTTGAAGTCACCGTCAAGGTGGCATCTGACGAGACCACCACGCGGAAAGAGAAGACGTACATCAACAAACTGAACCTCGCCCTCATTTAAGCGAGTGATCCGCATATACCTGTCCACCCATCTGCGCGCTATCGCTCGGAGCAGCAGCGGAAACATGCTCAACAGCATGTCTTTGAGAAAGAACACCTACAGCGACGTCTTGAGTAACTTGAGACTTGTTGTCATCGAGCGAATGATGAAGCCAGAGGAGGTGCGGTTCAATTTTCCTTTCTTGTCTCTTCGGTATAACGATGGTTTCAGGTACTAATTGTCGAAAATGACGAGGGTGAAATCATTCGTGAATTCATGAAGGAATTGGGTATGATTGTCCTCTATAAGTAGATGCGAGAGTTGCTGGTCTATCTTACGCATCTGGATGCCTGACAATATATTATCAAAACTGACTTGAAATAACTGACTGGTAAATAATCGACCATCCTTGGTCAATTTGGCGCTGGTCTGACAACCACTCACAGTGTATATTTGGTCCAGTTATTGCTTGACTAGTTGGCAAAGACTTGATCATGTTCTGTCAACCTGACACTCACATGACAACCAGTTTATAATTTATTATCAAGTCTGACTGCTATTTAACTGTTTGACATATACTTGATCATCCTGTATCAGTCCGGCACTTCCCTGGCAATACATTATTGCATATTGACTAGGTGGCAAAGACTTGATCATGTTCTGTCAACCTGACACTCGCATGACAACCAGTGATAATTTATTATCAAGTCTGACTACTATTCAACTGGTTGACATGGACTTGATCATCCTCTATCAGTCTGGCACTTCCCTGGCAATACATTATCGTATATTATCTAGTCTGACCAACACTTCGCTGACTGACTAAGATTTATCAACTCCGCCTAGTCATACCACCGACTCCCCAACTTCCTGATGTAGCCTCCTCTTCATGAGCGAGTGTTACTTCTGAAAGTGTTGCCAATTGATTATCAAAAATGACTGCAAGTTCTTTTGGCGATCCTTCGGGCTTGCATAAGGAGAACATGCTTTTGACGGGTGTTTTATCTGTAATTGGACGTGGCTAGCAAAGTCATGTCGAATGTCAATATATTGAAGTTAGTTCTAGCTAGGTATACTGACATTATTCATAGTTCCTGCATAATGTGTGCCACAAGCTCTGATTTTCTCGTCTCCCGCAATCTGGCCCATTATGATGCTTTCATATTCAATGCCAGAGGAGGGTTGAACATAAGCAAAGTTGCCGGTATGAGTATTGATCTGACGCACGAAATCTTGATTGTATGTGGCTTGCGCTAAACAATCACCAGTAGGAAGATTCAATAGCTGCTCGCTCAGGCCATCATAAATTCCATGTTCATTGCGAAGATCGAAGATAGTGGCAGTAGTCTCGTTGGATGAATCAGACATTTTTGGCGTGAGGTTATCCCAATCATGCTATGCTCTTGTATATATAACGTATTATGACATGAATTTGATTTGCAATGATTTTCAAGAACTCCTGATATCTGTACCTCGACATTGCCAATTAACTATCTCATATGGCATGTGCGTACTCATCCATGGTTTTGTGTTTGATTTTTCGTATATCATTTTCTGACTCCTGAAACGTGTCATCAAATTGCATATTATGTTGAATAGTTTAATCCCCTCATTGGCCATCTCCTCTCGAAATCTGTATATCTGATCTACAGTTTAACCGTTTTTGGGCCATAGTTAATTGGATATTCATTTGTATTAGACGAACATGCGAGTCAATTTTGTATCAGACCTGCACCAGGCAATTCATCTTTAATGTATGCGCTATAGTACTAATCAGCTGATTATCACTTTGCTACAATAAATCGTGTGACACGTACTTCACAATCACATCAGTGATGAGTCCTAGGTCACTGGGATTGACATCGAGTATGTCTTTGCAATTTATTTCGCTTCGTTTGAGAACAAGGACATTGCCATTAGGCATATACACGTTCTCGAAACCTGCGAACGGGACACCAAGGGTATGCAATAAGTAATTCGGTCTGCTGTCATGATGGTCTTCTACACAGACAATGAGTGTCCATGGCAGTTTCGCTCGTGATTTTGGATGTCTAGAAATGGCAGTCCTCGTGACGTCCGGCCGAATGATCGCTGCTTGTTCACCAAACTCATTTAACCATTGAAATGTGTGCAGATCGCTCGTTGATTCCAGCTCGTCCACACCAATTGTCAATGGCGCTGGAACCAATAAGGCTCGATCACATTCCCGCAGGTAAAGTATTGCTCGTCGTCCACCGCTTATCATCTGCAGTCAAATTTCGAAATTGTCAATCACTGCCAGTTTTTGTTCTGGCGAAACGCACCGGATGATGTGCCAGAGTCTTCTTAGTTTTCAAAACATCATCCAACTGCGATGGTCCATGCACAATGTCAGGAATGTGATATAGGCGCGTGGCACACATTGGGTTATCACAATCAAGAGCAAGACGCCAACGATGCTCGGAGTTTCTGAGATGATGATGTGGGCTTCTACGATCCGCTATTCTTTCATCTCCTTCATAACGCCAATCCAAAGTTAGGACATTTTTGGAGTCATCAATCTTCTGCCATAGCAGCGGACAATCGTTATTACAAGCTGATCTCTTGCCTGTTGTATTTTGAATCGGTGTTAAGCACATTGAGGAACACCGTCTTGCTTTCATTTGTGAGGTAGGTGCATCAATTGTCAATAGTGTGCGAAATGAAAGTCCACGGAATGTGAATCTGGGATGAGCACAGAAGACGCCTGATTGTGTCACAAACATCATCTCTGATGTGCAGGCGCTGGCCAATATTACGGTGATAATGGATGTGTCGACACTTTCGGTCACAGTGATGCGAAGGCTCTGGTCATCTTTATACGAGAATCGAGAGTGGGATGATACGAAACTTGTGGCCCAAATTATATTCTGGCCTTCTCTTTCATCTTCTGATATATATCCGTTAGAGAGCAAAAACGAACAGATCGGAAGGGCACTTCCGTGGGGAGCGACAATATTGAGATCTCTGGGTTTCCAATGACCTGGCCGCCAAACTAGTGACAGTGATGCTGATCCTGAAATAACAGCATTGTTGTTTTCGATGGTCTTAGCGAGATTACCATGATTGGTGGTGATGTACGGTTTCAAAAGATCCAGGTAGCGCTTTGTATGCATATTTCCTATGTGATGTCGCATAGTCTTGCAAGTCAAAGAGAGGTTGTAGAGTGCGTTAAAGTCCACAAAATGCGCCAAAGACCAACTGATATTGGGGACAGACAAAACTATGCTGATGATATGTTTCAGTGCCCAGTGAATCATCAACAAATGACCTACGAGCATCTACCAGTGAAACGCCATTGATATTCACGAATGATGTTGCAGACTTTGTTCCTGACATGTTTAACATGCACCTTCTGATGTATGTCTTGTTGCAATGATAGTAGTCTTTTCGTTATTGATGGCCTACGCACGTAGACACTGCATATAGGGGCTATAAAATTTTACATGCTCCCAAATGACGTTTCCAACGCCCTGGATCGACTTGTTTAATAGGAGATTAAAAATCGGTTATCCTCCTTTTCAATTTTCAAATATATCGACAGATTGAAGACTGACCTTGATCTTGAAATATCAAAACAACTTCTTGTCACCGGTTTGCCAATATGCCTTTTTTTGAGATTCATCAGCATTTGAAAAGCAATCGTCGTGACAGTTAATAAAGTCCGGAATCAAATTGAGGTAATGTTACCACTCCTTTTTTTTTCCCCTGAAACGTGCAATAATTTAACAATCACCTCAACTATTCAATGAATTCCAGTCACGATACTACAAGCCTCTTTTTTCCCATTTATTTGGCTTTGGTGTGTCACGAGTTCTCAGCGACTTTAATCGAATATCATGAGTTGGTCTACTTTGCGATATTATCACACATCCTACTTATTATGAAAGCAGGTCTTCTCAATAACGATACGACTTTCGAAATAGTAGCTCGATTGGACGTGTTCCAAATTGTGGAATGTATGCCTGTCAGTCAATTGGTACAAGACGCAGGTCTACACACCATGTGATGCCGATTTGATAATGTCATCCGATGTGCCGTCGGTTCAGACAATTCAATGCAATTCCATGCCATTCTGGAGTCGAGCGGTTCAGTTCTACTTTCATCTCCTGCGCTCGATCCATTGTTGTTGGGCACTATGAAGGCTGTCTCTCCAGACCTACGTATCGCTGCACCAAATGAAGGTGTCGCGTCACTCATCGAAGGTATCCAAAAAATCGGATTCAAGCCAATGCTTGACACATCTCAAGTCTCATCGGATTCCCTTTCCTCATCGTATCGATACGGTTCTTCACTTATTAACAGTGCCATGACTCCACAACCCATGTTGTCAGCATTCGCATATCAAACATTCGAACGTTTCGGCATTCTCATTACTATCATTCACGGTCAATCATCGTCAGTCATCCCTATTGTATTATCTCAACGTTCTTCCGTGGATTGTCTCTTCGTCACTTCGGGAGGACTATTTATTGGTTATCCCGCGTATTTGAAAAAACACGTGGCATATACTCCCGCTATCCATGCACAATCCCCTGCACTCCAAAATGTCACCAACCGTGGATATGACGTTCAATGCAAGAATGATAAGTGGAGCCAGCCTTGTGATACCGAGTGTCCCACTCTCTGGCGTCGCATGCAAGACGGTCAATTCATTCAATGGGGGGACTAGTGGTGCCGAAGTCCGGTTCGGTTCGGTTCTTAGGCCTCTAAATGCGAACGCCGAACTGGACCATCGGTCGCGTTCAGGCAAGGAGGGCGAACGCTGGACCGGACCCTTATGAACGCGTTCACAAGCGTTCGGTTCAAGTTCAGAACGCGTTCGAACGCTCGAACGCTACATATAATTTGACAAAAATTGCAAGAAATACATGAACCGTAAATGAGTAGCTAAATTTCGTCCATGGCATAGTGTTCGTGAGCAGCAGCAAACTCAGCTTGAACTGTTGCAGAAATGTGGCCTTGACGGTACCCACTCTTCAATAACTGAAGGGCCTCGAATGTTGTTGGCAACAAACGATTACGGCGCGCAGTCCCAGTGATGCCGCCACTCGAAAAGGCTCGTTCAGATGCAACGGCAGAGCCTTGAATAGCGAGGTAATCCTTTGCAATGCGTGAGATGGTGGGATATTGAACGGAATGGTGCTAAAGGCATAATGAGTCAACTTGCAAGGAAATGCGATGCGAAAAAACTCACACCCCACCACGCCACTATATTCTCAACATCCTCTAATGGGGCAGCAAGGTAGTCGTCAAGCTCCTGGCGAGGTCTTCGATTTGCGGTGTCATTTGCGACACGAGTTTTGACAGCATCGCGCATCCAGCTATGGCCGTATGACCCATGGCGAGCAAGCGAGGCAGGAGCTGCAATAGACGGCTCTGCAGCAGCGGGCGAGGAGTTGTGATGATAATATTTGTCAAAAACCTTCCGCAAGCTTCTCATGCCCTCGTCGAAGTCGTGAGGCTCCCATTTACCCTTCGCATATGCCACCTTATAGTTAGGATCAAGCGCTACATTGTGCATTAGATAGGGCATCATAGTAAATAAAACACATACCGAGGCAAACAAAATAAACATCAGTTTCGTCAATCTTGTGGTACCATTTGCGAATATTGTCGAGGCCAGAGTTGATTGTGGATGAAAAGTCGTCAAACTTCGAAGAACTAGCCATGTTTTGCCAAGTTTGTTGGAGATACTCGAGGACTGGAATTGCGCGCCATACAGTAGGTTCACGAGTCGCTGAAAACGATTGTTGTGCATTGGCAGGTTCCTGGTTATACAGTAGGTTAATACAACATTTGAGACTCGACTGGACACTCGCACATACCTGAAGCACGTCGTGCATCAATTCCAACTTCTTCCATTCTTCGGCTGAAAGCTTGAATGCTCCATATGACTTGCCCTGCAAGTTTGGGACTTCGTCACTGTCATCCGCCAGTTGTATGAATCTATTCACCCCCTGCGGCAGATCAAATTGAGTTAGTATTGGGCATAGGGATAGAAACCAACTTACTTTGCGTAGCTTAAGGGTGCGCTCCAACATACCAAAGAGTGAGGCCCATCGCGTGCGAATCCATTTCAAAAGCTCAAGCTTCGGCTCATTGACCTCGACACAACACTGTTGAAAAAAAGTGCGTGCTTGGGGAGATTTCCGAATCTGCGTAACAAGTGCGAGGGCTTTTCCTGCGGTGTCGGCAACCTCGAAATCAGTCGTTTCATCATCGTCATCTTCATCGGCCATGTTCTTGAGGAGCACGCTTGCTGGTGTGGGTGCGACCTCCTCGACAAAGTGTTTCGCAGCTAAGTGCAAGGCGTGCTCCATACAGCTGAATAGTAGACATCAATATATATAAATCACGATATTAAATAGTTCACTTACCGCACACGGTGTTCCCCAGCAATCCATTTCTTGCCGGAAGGGTCGATAGCAAGCGCGACGGTCTGAATTGCTGTGTCGTTGTTGGTAGCATTGTCAGCTGTAAACCATCCAACCTTAGTGCGGATGCCATAGTTATTGATAGTTTCAATCAGGATTCGTCCAATGTTGCTCCCACTGTGATTGCCGTTGATGATGGTGAATGCAAGCTGCTCTGTCTTCAACTCCCACTCATGAGGTTTCCCAGCTGGGGAGTCAATATAATGCGCGGTGACGGAGAGAAAAGGTACCCCAGGTTCAGAGGTCCATGAGTCGAACGTGATCGAAATCTTGCTATCAACTTGCTTAAGTTTCTCCTTGACACGTTGAACGGCAAGCTGCGCCCGTTCAAGAATTTCATCTCGAGTTTTGGTGTGGTGAGGAATATCCCTGTCTGAAAGGGAAGGCCGGAGGTATTGAAGGAGCCGGCGAAAGGGTCCCTTGTCAACGAGTTGGAATGCCTATCTATGGCATGAACATCCTAAGTCACGATTACAAAAAAAAACACTCACCTCGTCCTCAGACACGATAAGCTCAACAATGTAATCCATTAGACCGGTCTTGGTGAATTCAGGAATTTTAGGCGTGAGGGAGGCATCTAACGTTTTCTGCAAGTCGTCGGTTGCTTTGCAGTTAGGAGGTATCGCCCGATCATGCATCTTGATACCTCGTTCTTTGCAGCGGTCGCGGTATATTGGAAAGTGACACTTCGCATTTCGAGCGATATGGGTGCGGCGAGTCGAAACACTGCCTTTGAAAAAGCACTGATTGGTGGGTACATCATTGGCTCTTGAATTGACAATGTTAGTTATGTGTGTGACGTTCAAAGTAAAAGTAAAAACATACCTGCATATCTCGCACCACCAGCCATCTTCGGGTTCTTGGGTGTGCGGATTGATGCGTCCCTTCTCCTGAGTAAATACTACCTTCAAATCCCCACTGCGCTCCTCTTTCTTCTTATGCTTGCGATCCTCACGGTCCTTGTCTCCAAATACCTTGGTCCGCTCGTAAGCTTCCTCCCCGTCATTGTCTTCGGCCTCTTCTTCATCATCTGAACAATCCTCTAGTGCAGGAGGTTCGTCGTCATCGTCATCATGGTGACGGACCAGACGGGACCCACGTTGCACTCGCTTGGGTGCAGGCTGTCCTTGGGGAGGTGCTGGAGCCACTCATTTGGCTGGAGTCGTGTTGCCAGCATCGCGGATTTTTTCTGTCGGTTTAACAGCTCGGCCTGAGCGAGACACAAAGGCAGTTAGCTTGCCATTGGATGCAGGAGGTGGAGGTGGAGGAAGCATGGGCGTGTCATCGTCAGGATCATTGTACCAATCGATGGCACTAGCATCCTTGAGTTGGCCGTCAGATCCAAGTGCGCACGACATTTGTGCAGCAAGGAGGGTGAAGATTGAACCTGTAGTAAGTAGCTCATTTATTCCAAATTTTATGATAAGAGATCAAAAAAATGACGCACCTTGAACATCCTGTTGCCATGCAATTACTTGGTGTTGAAGCTTGAAGTACCAGAACGAGAAACCTGAGAATATGTTCTGAAAATAAAGACCATTGAAGTCTGAATAAAGATTAACATTTGTTTAACATTAGGCTTACCAGAACATCGAGTAGATTACCAGGGAAGTCAGATCTCGCCAATGGAAATGTGTTGGGTGTTTTGGCTGCGAAGTCCGATCCGCTATTGATTGTCCCGAGATCGATCGACATGCCGGTTGCCAGAAGATCAGAGCAGATATATTGGTGGATCATGCAAAGAATATGAGAACACGTTCAGACGGGTTCGAACGGGTTCGAACGGGTTCACAGTATTCAGGCAGCAGCCGAACGCTGAACTTAATAATCAGTTCGGTCCTTATACTATTTCGAACCCAGGACCGAACCCACGGTCCGGTCCGGGAGGGTTCAGGTCCGAACCGAAGTTCAGAACCGGACTGCGGCATCACTAGGGGGGACGGAATCTCGCCTTTCGCTATGCTCAATGGCCAAAGTTACTTTTGGCGATTATCTCGGAAATGTTACAATTCAAACTGTATCCAGAACTCGATGCCATTTGGGAATCCTTCTGGAGTTCCAACGTCCAACGAAGATGTCATGCTCATTGTTGAACAAGCTCGTCAAAACAATGTTTGTGGATCTAATTTGGTATCTGCATTTCAAACTAATGTCACGATGTTAGCCGAAAACATTCAGTGTGCGGGGTATATTGTTTGCGCAGGCAACAGACCGACCAATCATAGTGCTTATCTTCCTAGACAAAGGAAGAACTCGTTTGAGGTCCATTGATGATCTCAATTTGAGACACTATGTCCGGGAAAATGGGATTGAAGTCGATTATATGATCGATGGTAGTTCCACTCGCCAAACATTTATCTCTGGCATATATGCTTACACTGTCATTCGCGATCATCACGAGGTTTTCAATAATCTCCCAAGCATGCTCTTGAATGGACCAATAGTCAATTCACAAGGCTATCAATATTTGCCAATGACGCCCCCTCGTAGCAACATCCTGGTCATCAAACATGCCGTTTCTTCTACTTTTGAACCCAAGGACATGCAACGCAGAGACCTCAAACGTGTTTCTGAACTATTAATAAAGTATGATATTCTCTATGTTTCCGAATAATCTCACATTTGTTTGGATTCTTTTTAGAGCGGATGAAGCCGGCAATCTATTCAACAACATTCTCAGAACATCGCCTAACTTTTGATGGAAATTAAATTCAGAATTCGATGAGGATGTTATTTAGGAAGAGCTTTGATAATTATAATGAAAAGTCTAGTAGTTTTTCAATCATTCTCACTGTCTTGTAATAGTCTATTCAATGTCATCTGCGACTTGTTTTTGGGAATACAAATGAATCCAAGTGATATGAATTGCGTGAGGGAGTGAATTTCCTTACACTACAGCATGGACTATTTTGAGGCATGTCACAGACCTTCTCGCTTGACATGATCATCAGATTCCGAAACCGTCATGCAACCAGTAATCGATGAACCATGACCTAAACCAATATTCTCATCAGATTCTGTATCAACATCAGCCAATTGCAAACCATTCAAGAAAACAAGGCTCTGACGAAAATACTAACCAGTCAGGATTAATCATTGGAACGTTAGGCCTGTGTTTCCTATCTGGCCTCGATACCAAATGAGTGCGCGTGATCGTCGATGTACGCCTGACTCTGGTAGGGTTCTGGTTCGTATCGCAATGTCTTCGAGCTCCCCAATCTGTTGGAGACGTAAAATTTGCTGGTAGCAGATGAGTGGGAAGCAAGCGAACATATGGCAAGATCAAACTTTTTCATGTTCACTTTAGGGCAAATGCAGAGATTACGTCACTATTTTTCCTAAAATCCAAAATGTTGGGAACAATCTCAAAGTCTAACGGTGAGTGTATATAATAGGAAATAAGAATAAGTCCAGAGTATCGAAGATGATCGAACGAGAATAGGAGAGAAAAGAGAAACCTCTAGAGACCACTTCAGTGGGCTCATTGAGAAGGTGAAGCAATTTCTCGGTATCGATGAGGCTTTGGTTGATTACGCGGTATACGCCGCCGAGGTTCGACAGAGAGAAATAGAGCTGATGTGGATGGCATCGGCGTGGTTGTAACTAGAAGACGTCAGCTTGATACGACACGAAAGAGATAAGGTACCCACCTGCGCATAATAAGTGATGAACACCACAAAATCGCTAGTATTACTCTGTCCCCTTGTGATGCGCGACGCGACGATCAAGGAACCGACCAGAAGACCAGAGGTGATGATGAGTGTTTGCACGAGGTTCAGCAGGTTGAGAGATACTACATGTGTAATCAGCATTTGCGTTCGCCATTGGAATGAAACACAGGTTTGGTTGGAAAATGAGAAACAACTTGGAAGCGAGACGCGGTTTTTAAAATGAGATGAGGCAAAAACACTCACGGACAACCCTCTTCTCCAAACTCTGATACTCCTCGATAGCCTCCGTATATCTCTGCGCCTCATACTCCTCCCCACCGAAATACTTGACAGTCTTGTAATTGAGGAGACAATCCGTATGAATCCCACGCATGTTCTGAGCAGGCATAGAATCAGGACCCTCTCCATAGAGAACGAATAGCAGTAAACACTTACCACATCCCGCTCATTCATCAGTCTCCGTATGCTAGTCCTATACCTCGTAAGCACGACACTCGCCCAGATATGACTCCCCATCACGACTCCAACCACAGCGCCCAACGCAGGTTCGAACTTGACGACAAACACAACGAGCGCAACACATATATCCACGAGTGCAGGAACCACTGTGAACCCAATAAGCTCGCCAAGGCGGTTTATTGCGCTTCCTCTATCAAGAATACAGAGCAGCTCACCAATCTTGCGTTTCGTGTGCCAACTGAGAGAAAGAGCCAGGACATGGTTGAATGAGAGCATCAACATGCTGCGGTCGCTGTATTGCATGAGTGGAATCCAGAATGCATCGCGGAAAGCTGCGAGACCGCCTGAGGAAGCAAGGAAACGGAGCATGACATAGGTGATTAGGTACGGCCATGGGCTTGAACCAAATGCAGGGAATGGAGCTACGCCTGGTGTGTCGAATGTGGTGATGAGTGCGGAAAGTACGAAAAGAAGAAATGTGTTGACTACACGTCCTAGAACAAAGATGAAGAAACAAGTGAACTGCAGAACTATCAGTTTGGTTGATGAAAATGCAAAGGAGATACGTACTGCGATAAATTGCAGCTTTGGATAACGGGAAGGCCAGAGATGAAGCGCGATGCGAAATAGACGAGAAAAGAGTTCGCGCCAAGAGGGATCGACAGCTACTTCGCGTGGTGTTGTCTGTGAAAACGTTAGGTTGCGTTACACTAGATTGACAGCCCTGCTGACCTTATTTGGCTCTCGTACACCTGGAACTGGGGACGCGCGGCGCGTTGTAGGACCGCTTCTGGATGTAAAAGTGCCATATTTGGCGGTACTACCGGGACCGTCAGGGTCGGCATCTTCTGATGGCAGCAATGATGATTGATGAGGAACGTGTTGCGATATGAGACGAGCGGACCTTAACTCGACTTCGATTCCAAATCTCGTCATCACACTCATCTCATTCAACCTTTCACTATCACTGAATCTCCGTGACACACTTGTTGACTGAATTGTATTGTAAGTCATGCTTAATATGGATAAAGAATCTAAACTCACAAGTCTCATACGCACATATTTAATGTACATCTTCACCAGCGAGCTGTCTGCTTGAGTTGTGATGCAAAGATATACCAAGCTCGTCCATATACATGTAAGAGCCTCTGGTAGGATTCGTCCACAAAATAAACTGTATGTATCATCATGTTATTCAGCATGTAATCTTACAATCATTCACGTACTTGAAATATATCCACGCTGAATTAACAGACCATGAATTTGCATCAGCAGCATTGAAACGCTTCATAAGCGATCCAAGTAACGTGCGTTGTAGAAACCTATTCATCTCAGTCGCTTGGACGTTCCGGAGGAACTATCTACTAACCCGTTGACTAAGAATTTGAATTATGCAATCGGCGTCGTTTATGTGACATATGAACAGTTTCATCGTCTGTTGAAACAAAATGAATATGCTGGACGTCATTTTCAGATTGGAAAACACCTTTGTGCATAGATTTCATGCTGGATACATATTCTGTACATGTCGATGAAGGATTCCGGGTCAATGAATGATGGCGCATCAATGACGGTGATCTCAAATGCTCTCTAGAACGATGCTATTCATTACCGTCGTAGGGAAGAATTAGCAGAGTCAGAACGGAACAGAAATAGAAATACATTACGGTAGTAGAAGGCTCCCACGAATTTGCTTGCTCTTGCAGTAAGTGGAGTTGGCGATTACGTTCTAGATGGTCGTTGGTTTGAATGGTTTGCGAATTGACAGACACTATAGTTTTCACATGGAATACAAGTCGACGTCGAGCATCATCTTGTTCTGCTGGCAAGCCATATCGAAATATGGTTTGCCATCGAATAATATTTAGACGATATTCTTCCTTTCGAGCATCTTCAGACAGGCGACTTCGGATCCTTTTGATCGAGAACGGTCGGAGGATTAGAAGGGATGACAGCGAAGTGACCCGAGAGAGCATGACATATGGGGCCTCAGTGCCTTTACAACTTTCGATATCCACAATAGCCTGGGCGAGGGTCTTCCCTTGTGCTTTATGGGTCGTCATTGCAAATGCAGGTAAAACAGGTATCTGAGAACGAGTGATCTTACATCAGTTTCTGTGAATAAGGATGTGTGAAATCCATTTCTACAGTGTCTTGCAAAGCCACGACATAATTCGGTGGTAAATGAGGCAATACGTTGTCGGTAGTCGAAGTAGAATGGACGACACATGATATGGCATGTCAATTACCTTGCAAGTCAAGAGTGTACCGAATGCTTTTAAGAATGCCCTGACAACCATTCACAATACCACCATCGACATCAAAATTGTGTGAGATGATAACTGGCATGCCAATGACAAGAGGAATCTTGCCTAACCGTTGACTTGTACTTCCAGTGTGCAAATCCTGCAAGTGAGCTTTCAAATCTTCGTCGATAATCTCTCTACCGCCCTGATAATCAGTACAATGGTACCAATGTAAAGCACGGTTCGTTCGTCGGGCAAATGATAAAACTGCGTGTGTATTGAAAGCATCTTTCACATCATTGTTGCTGACAATCATTGGAGCATCGCGCCATTGTATATTCCAATCCGGACGTACATTAGAGATCAAACGAGACTGCAACAGGTTATAATCATCCTCAGTACACTTCCCCACTCGTAATCTCGACAGAAGACTGACAAAGGTTTCATTCTCTGCTCCTCTGCTGACGCATGACCTCCGTGAGAATGACTACAGTTGTGACTGATAACCATAGCAACTTCCCAAGAATTGTATTTTGACCTTGTTTAGTAGCTACTCGATGTATGTTTATATGCCCATACAACCGAGGTTGTCCAACAGGAGGTAATTGGTTGAAATCTCCAGCAAATATGATATTTAGCCCTCCGAAAGGTGATGTGTTTCCTTTGGCTTCTATCAACGCTTCACTAATCTGCAGCATGAAATTACAGCCGATCATAGATACTTCGTCTACAAATAAATAATCTACTCCTTCCCACATAGCGACTAGATCTCTATTTGTTTTGCATCGTGCGTTCTTTTGCGTGCTGCGTTGTCCAAGTCTAAGTGCTGAATGTAAGGTCATGCCACAGATATTTCTCGCGGCTACTCCTGTGTATGAAGTCAGCCGAAATCTCCGCTCTTCATTGCGACGACGAAAGAACTCTTTGAGAACGTTGATAACTTGCGACTTTCCCGTCCCTCCACAACCACCAATGTACATGCGCAACTGTTCAGGTGAACGATTTATGCTATGTTCAGCGACAATACGAAACGCACGCGCCTGCTCGAGATTGAGAGAAAATTCATGGATCATGCCATCAATACTCGAGCTGTCATCCTCTATATCTGTTTCACTCCGACGATTTCGAACGCCGTTGCTGCAATCACCATTGAGATCTTGCTGCTCTTCAGCATTCCTGAATGCATTTCCATCTCGAATGGCACTGTGCATAACATTTGTATCAGTTCGCACCTGGTTGTTCAAATCATTTACAGGACTAGTCTGATCATTACTGACAGATATCTTGTTTTTCCATGCATCTCGACGGTTATTGTATTCCGCCTCCCACGCATCTTCCAATGATCTATCATCCGCCATCACACACTCTGTGGCATCAGCCAGATTCGTCACTATTTTCATTAGAAACGGCGTGGCAAAAGCCCATCTGCCACATACCAGAACGCTCTGCATGATATAGACAATTCATCAAAGTGTCATTCGAACGTGCTCGATGGACTGAATGACATGAATCAATTGCTTGCAAATGCTCTAGTACGTCTGTATCTTGAATATAACAATCTTCTTCGCTGTATCGTGTCCCAGATGTGTGAGAACGATCCACATTGGACTTTGTCCGCAAAGATCGCAATCTTTCTGCAAAGTAATCGTCTCGGCTATCCCGGCACTCATGCAAAATTTGCATGTTATCCATCACACTCTTCAAACTAATATAGGACGCACTCAAAAACATTGTGAACGCAGATACCCAAGATTGGCCTTCTCTTCGTAAGTCCGTCACAGTTCGCCAAGGCTTGAATAAAATTAACATCAATCTACAATAGCGCGGATAGACAGCGGCTCTGTCTCGACGAGGAATTCCAGCACCAATAGGCACTGGGACCAAACGATTTTGCATCAATCGGATGCGAGTGACATGTGATTGTTTTTGAGGATGAGCTTCATGGAGTGATACACACGGACGTTCGCGTGATTGATCATGAAGTAAGAGTCGTAATTCTTCCATCCCAAAAATGGACTCATTGTCATGAAGAGGATGGCTGTCATTGTCATCATCATCTTCATTACGATGTTTCTTAGACAGTGGCACCTTCTCTGTTTGAGCTATGAAGTCCCATAGAGAAAGCAAACGGAGCTGCGGACCACGCAATCTGTAATCCAGAAGCTGAGAAGGTTTGGCACTCAATTCTCCTACATGATTGACGGACACACCGACTTCTTCGTCAATGTCATCCTCGATGTCATCATCGTCGTGTGGAAACTCGTGTACTTCTTCATTAGCATCTTGATCAGTTTGGTCGTCTTCATGACATATGTCTTGCGAATTACTGTCACTATCGTTTGGTTCGGCTTCAAGCATGCTGAATTCATTGATAGAATTCCCTCCAACACACTTTGCATTGCATTCAGGACTCGGACTCTCGGCATCGATATATCTTTCGAAAGAGGTCCAATACAGATTATTGAACGAATGACTAGTGAAGTGATCTTCGAGTTCTAACAGATAGGAGCATACCTGCGGACCAGACAATTCCTGATGAGATATCATCGAATATGCACATTTTTGAAGCAAGCGCTTGGCACGAAGTGTCGAATCTCCATCCTCTGGATGATATTCTCCTAATTTATGGACTGCAAGATCCAAAGCGGCATATGCGACATGCGCTTTCAACTGAGATTTCGTGATGTAATCTGTAATATAGTACAAAATAGCCTTTGCACTTGCGCCTGATCCAATGAACTTGATATCCATATTACATCGAATGAGCTCTAACATTGTTTCGTTGAAATTATTCACCATACCATCTAAACATCGAAGAGAGATTTCGCCACTATCCATATCAAAAGAACTAGAAGGACAATATTTCTTTTCGTCCAGACCAAATCTACACTCTTTCGGCTGGGGAGGTCCTTTCCAGTACTTGAAACAAGTAGCTGAATGCCTATGCACCTGACATGCTCGAGTAAGATGGTACAAGTCCTTTTGTCTTGCCATATGATATCTGTCGCCCCAAGCAGATTGAGAAACTCCTATGACAGAGCATGGATGATGAGATGCAGAGGGAACCGCACAACAAGGATCTGGATCGTCAGGCAATGAATTAGATATGCTATCATCCAAGAATGCGAGCAAGCGATGTTGAAAATCCGTATCTTTGTCTTTCATAACTCGGTCATGGATCTCATTCGGATCCAAAGCTCCCTCCAACCACACTAACATATGACAATGTAAAGTGCCACGACCCTGCGCTTCAACGCACCCATAATAACCTTTGACTAAACCCAATATTCCACCCTCAACATCACAACCTGAGGGATCAAAGCCTAACACACATGAAATAAACGCTTTCATATAGATGTTGAAAAACTTCGCTCCCAAAGCCGGATTCCTTGCGACTTGGATGGATTGCTCAAAAAAATTGGGCACGTCAGCATGTAAAAGGTTATCAATGTCGATATCAACACCGGAAAGGAATTTCACCACAGGACTGTAAACATCTGCAGGATTTATGGTAATATAGAAACTAGGCAGACCATGAGCCATCATCATACCTCGTATCTCATTCCGCATATGGAGTCGAGCTGCAGCTGATCCTCGCACATGTGACGAGACAACTTTCACTTGTTGCATAAGACTGAGAACCTTGCGCTCTTCATCAGAATAGGCTGTTTGATTGTCACCCTGAGCTACACGCTCGGACACCACATGGACTGCTTCAGGAGACACCATTGCAAAATTTCGAGCAACAGACGAGAAATCCGTAAGACGAACCTTCAGGCTTGAATGCAAAAGAATTTCTCGTCGTTGCAGTACATTGAAAACGGTGAACAAGAACGAATAATGCTCTTGAAAACGTTTGTCTGTGAGAGAAAATAAGTGTTTGACATGCTTTTTCATGGATATCCTTGTGGTGCGAATCGAATCCTCGAAGCCACCCAGACCATAAGGGAACAAGATCGGATAAATCATTGGAAATAACTGCGGATTGAAGAACTCATTGACAGGCTGAGGACCATGCGGAACTTCGATGTATCCTCCACCACGCTGTTTCACGTGTCGTAACGCAGCAGCTCGTAACTCATTAGCAGGGGCGTGTGCATCCACATCTGTAACTACCACGTTAGAAAATGGCACAGGAATGTCTGTAGCATCGCAATGATCAACCATGCCTTCAGAATCCAAAGACGGCGCATCATATTTCGAAGTGAGAAGATCATCAGATTGATCAGACAACACATGTTGAATATGCACAGGCAATGTCTGTTCTTCTTGTAAACTGTCGAGAAGCGTATGATCAATGACAACTTCAGCATACAAAGGATTATGTTGCACAAGCCATTGTAAAGCATTACGCACACGCTCACGCCTGATTATCAAGGGTCTGGCCTTGGTACGTAACCACTCTGCTGAAGGTGGTTTCGATCCTACAAAGATCACACAAACTGGTGTGGAAACGTCATCAAGAGTACAAGGAAGAACATCTAGTAATGCAGAAGGATTCTGAGGATAAATAATAATATGACCTTTGAATCCCCGTTGAGAATATGGCAATTGGAGGCCCTGATTTTCTTCTTTCAAATGAACCACCCAGCATTTAGCGCGACAACGAGCAATCATGGCCTCTTCAATGACTGTGAGATCCCGTAATACATTTGGAACAGGGCCAAGATAATGATGATTGGCTAGAGCAGTGGAAGGAAGCTTGCCTTTCCGCAACGACGAAAGACACGAAACACATATAGCCAAAGTAATGCGATGTTCATCGTCGTGATGCACGCCATGATCGTCAATAAGAACATCCACCAAAGCATCATCAACGTGTGTCGTGGCAGAAGGAAAAGATGTAGAACGTAGCCACCATGGATCCAAGTTTCCACCCTTGCCATGGAGACGTCGATCGGGACGCCGAAGAATATCACAATCTAGTTCAGAAGGTGTAACCAATTCACGCTGGCGTACAGGACACGCCTCTGCACAGCATGCGCAGGTAAAAGTCGCAAGAGAATCAACCGATATTTGCTCACGAAATGCACAGCGCACCTTGTACTTAATTCCGTCATCCACTAAACGTGGCCACGCTTGTCGAACTTTCTCCTTGGTCTGCTCTGCGAGGATAAATTGCGCATCTTGTTCTGCACTTTGCAACTCAGCGTGTTTCCCCTTCTTTAACATAGAAAGGAATGATCGTAATTTCTTTCTCAGCACACGCAAATTATCACCTGTGGAATGCTGAATGTTATGAATGCGAAAAAGACGGCGAAGAGGTCTTGCAGACATCCGAGAACCTACGACATCCAATAATTGAATCTGAAGAGTTACTGCATCCATAGAAGAATCACAATGACAAGCAGAACATACACGTGAACAACCTTGGAAGAGATCCTTGCCGTGCAAACAACTGCCGTCGGACAAATGGTGCATCAACATCTGCAACAAAGCTTCGCGGGAACATGCCGATTGAAATTGAATACCATGAATTACAGCGTATGCATGCAATGAAGAATGAGATAGATTTTCGAAACCAAGAAACAATTCGTTCAATACGACGTCGTCTTCCGAAGACTTGACACACCGATGGGACAGCAAACGGATCAAGTCGGCACGATTCGCGTGGACGAGCGAGCTTTCTTCTCCAGCAGCACGAACAATGTCTTTAAGAGAAGCCACCGATAATGTCGATGATAGAGAGATCGAGACCTCTCGAACGACATAACCCAGAAGAGAAGAAACGTCGGAAAAACCTTGAGAAATAAGCCCGCAAGCCTTGGGACCGCTTTGGCCGGCTCCCGCATGAATACAAACTCCAGACAGCAGATGTCGCAAAAGGTGGTGTTTCGTTTCAGTAGGTGACAATTGCATTTGAAGACCATGATCCTGAACCAAAGAAATTAATTGAGTAGCATCAGCAGAAAACAGTGACTGCGTCGGAGAAGCTGAAAATAGCATATCACGAATAAGAGCTTCTCCTTGCACACAATCACGAGATTTTGAACCAGTCGCGCAACCGTTTATGGATGAACCGTGAACTGAACCGTTATTATCAGAAGATACTACAACATCAGTGATTTGAGACATAACGATACGTCGATAGCAGATGAGTATCAAGAAAACGAGGGTATGAACGTTTGAACCACGACACTAATCAGGCGTGCACGAACCACCGTGAGAACTTATGGCCTTTTAGAAGCAATGAATTTCCAAAACACTATGCCGCGTATAATCGCGAAAAAACCTGACCCTAAAAACCCACTACCTAAAGGTAGCGGGAATATTGAAAAATAGCAAGATTCCTTGCAAATTTGTTTCAAGAATACCTCATTGCAACCATTTTTGGAAATTTGCGACAGATGCGTCACGCTGTCTTGTGACGATGAATTCCGTGGTGCCCATTACATAATGCCTTGCGCTTGAAGTCAACGTTGGAGCAGCCGCTGTTGGAGCTTGCCTGAAGGCTTGTGGCTAAGGGTATAGGGCTTTCCTTTCTTGATCTACTTGTTGCCCATTTCCGAGGTCGCTCAGACTGATCAAACGACGGTCTTTGTTGAGAACAGTGCCGCCCTAACCCGAATTATATATAGCTGCCCATCCTCTCATCTTAACTTTGGCCTACTACGACTCTGAGCAATCAAATCCGACTCACATTCTTTGACCTTCCGTCATTCATAAGACCACTAATTGAATGAATACGGGGAACTGCGATATGGGGTATGGTCGCATTATCGGTGCTGCACGCAGTATTTACTTTACTGAACGTATTGCGCAGGGCAGACACCTCACCAGCCGATTTAACACCCTTTATCACTCGAACAACTCAAGACCACAGTAGCGGAGGTGGATTCGGCGATGTCTGGAAATGCAATTGCAATGCAGATGGTATTTCAGCCGTCGTCAGTTCATGTATTAGACTCATTTACCATGCACTGGCTTATGCCGACCAATCTATCAACACATAAGGTTGCGGTCAAGGCCTTCAGATATCCAGAGAACTATTATGATTCAGAGAGAATATACAGGGTAAGAAATACCAGGTCTGCACATACGTCAGCACATGCTACTTATACTGTTTGGATTATCTAGAAAATCAGCAGAGAAATCGGCATTTTAACACTTCTACGCCATGACAACATCGTACCGTTGTTGGGCATAGCGACAGGATTTGGACGGAGGCCAGACTTGCCCAGCTTGGTAACTCCGTGGATTCCAAACGGCACCTTGAATGTCTACCTGGTATCTAGACACAACGATTTAACAGTGCTGGACCGTTCACGTATGGTAAGTAGAATCACACCGCATCCTTTTACTTATCAGACTGACTCGAAGTTGGAAGCTGGAGGATGTCAGCGCTGGACTGCGTTACTGTCAGTTTCTTATATTTTTTCTCAAGATGTTATGGTAACCTACCATGGGTGCAGTGCACTCGGTGCCTGTCGTTCATGGGGATATAACAGGGGTGAGCCCAGAGCTGCTGTGATATTTTTGAAAAATAATAAAACTGTAGGCAAATATACTAATTGACGAGGGAGGCCGCGCGAAGCTAATTGATTTTGGTCTTTCTGCCGTTGTCCTGCCCCTTTTCGGCCAGTCACACTTGGCTGCAACATCGATACATGCAGGGGCAATCCACTATGCAGCACCAGAACTTCTATTAGATTATGTCGATGTCAATGACCCAGCTTCGGAAAGAACTAACATTTTCCCACCTTTGGAAAAAACTGACATCTACTCTTTTGGTTGTGTAATGCTTCAAGTGAGTTAGTTGTTTGGTCACAAAATGTTCATCTGAAGACTTATCGAACAAGATTCTCTCGGGTCGGTACCCTTGGTTTGAGATCAAGTCCCAAAACCCAGAATTCCGTATTTATGGTTTGAAACGCCAAGGTCGTGGTCCACAGCGCCCCAACGGCCACCCTGCAATAATGGACTCAGATTGGGACATGATTCAAAAATGTCTGCAATTAAAATTTGAACTTCGGCCTTCAGCAGATGAAGTATCCGACTTCATCACGCGTAGGTCTTGCTCATCAGGTCAGCCTGCATAGTTCGTGGTGCTTTTTGACCATTCATTCATTTGAACTTCAAGATTCTTCGAGCCTACCTAACGATTTTCCCGATGATGCGCAGGGTGGTTTCCGCGGAGTTTTCCCGCGCAATGATTCCAGTGGTATAACAAATCACCTGCTCAATAGTCCACGACCCCACCCTGATCATGAGCCGACGAATGGAATTATAGAGCCTGGAGCTCAGATATCTTCGTAGGTCCAAATCTGCACAGATTCACAAGTTTTAATATTCATTTTTCCAGTTCTTCTTCACCAGCCAACACTGATTCTTGGCCATTATTTCCCAGTATCAGTACTGATCCCACAACGGCGTTCGACAGTGATTTTCGTAAGTTACCATCATGTCAAATAAGCGTCGAGGCGGATATGTTTCATCGCCATGAGCAGTTCGATATACTAGCAACCCAGGACACGAACAGAAACAATCAGTAACATCGCCACCTCCAAACGCATGGTCGAGCAACCACAAAGTATGTGTCTCTTGAGAGACACAATACCACGAAGAGAGGTTACTGATTGGATATATCAGACGCGCCTGCGGGAAAGCAATGTCGTCATATTTGGCGAAACAGGCTCAGGGAAAAGTTCTATCATCAACACAATCGCGCAAGAGCAGCTCGCGAAGACATCTAACGACGCACATGGATGTACTTCTACCTCTCAACGCTACCCAGTAGAGATTTCAGGCCAGCGATTCGTCCTGATTGATACTGCAGGTCTCTGCATGGGGACTGCAGACTCAGTGTCAGCGGCGAAAGCGGAAAAAAAGTTGAAGAGTTTGTTGCGTGAGTTCATGAACTCCAAGTTGGATGGCATCAGCCTTCTGGTGTACTGCATGGACAACACGATTGCCCCTAGCGCCCTCGTTAAGGCCTATGACAAATTCTACTCTGGAATCTGCCAGAAGAAGGTTCCGATCGTAGTCGTCGTCACAGGATTAGAGAAAGAAACCCACATGGAGAACTGGTGGGATACCAATGTGGAAAAATTCAAGGGCATGTCTTTCGCAGACCATGCTTGCGTCACAACGCTTTTGGAACACTCAAGCTTCCCAGACCACGTCACTCATCGTATTTTGGAATCGGGCAATATTCTGCGCAAGCTTGTCGTGAAAAATTGCGCGGATTTGCCAGTTCCTAACGGCTCGGATTCGGCGGCCGGCACAAGCTGGCTCAAGAAGATCGGTAAGAAGGGATGAACGACGAGCAGGAAGTGAAATGTTAAGTTTAGGAGATTATAGTGGTGTACCGTATGTTACATGTTCAAACGTTCAAGTTCGTCACCATGCTCACCACCTGATTCATTATGATACATTGCCTCATTCCATGTTCGCGCATTATTCTGGAATAAACTTTCTATTCTGTATCCTGCATGAGGCATCGACTGGTCAATAAGTGACAGGATAAGCCGGTAAGGTCAATAACGGTCTGAGTAATGTAACTTACAGATACAAAAAATGTCGTTGCAGTCGTTGGAGACAGTGGTGTTTGGGAGGGTGTGACAGGCGTTGGAGTGGCAGGTAGCAGTTAGGCCCGGAAATTACGCGGATCAGCGCGAGAGGTGCCTTCACACATCGGGGTGAACGATATTTAAAAGAGGTTTATATGTTGTACAAAATGTGAAAACAATATTTGATATTTAAACTAACATAAAGATGCGTGCACGACTTCAAATTTTGGTGGTGTTTTGTGTGTCATCCAAAATATCAAATATTCACAACCATATTCCCACAGACAATATGTCAACAAATATAATAAATATAATCAGATTTTCTATGTCTGCTTCAATTTAAAGTTTGATTCTTACATAAAACTTTGGAGAAAACTTGAAGTTTTGCCAAAGCTTGACATTTAAATCGAGTTTTAATGTCATGTCATCTGTAAAACTTCAAGTTTTCTCCAAAGTTTTACATGGAAATTGAACTTTAAGTTGGAGCAGACATGAAAAATCTGACTATATTTCTTATGTTTGTTGACATATTGTCTGTGGGAATATGGTTGTGAATATTTGATATTTTGGATTACACACAAAACACCACCAAAATTTGAAGTCGTGCACCCATCTTTATGTTAGTTTAAATATTAAATATTGTCTTCACATTTTGTACAACATATAAACCTCTTTTAAATATCGTTCACCCCGATGTGTCAATGATGTGTCTTCTGAATGAGAAGTCGCAAACGGCCATGGGAGAGCAGCAGACCGAGGTATATTACACAAGAAAAGTGAACTAGTATGGCGACGTCATGACGAGCTCGATGATAACGACGACGAAAACGACGCTGCATTTGGGCCAGTACACCACTTATGTAAAGAAACGTTATTAGTCACCGGCACCTGCCAAGGATAAGTAATTCTAAATCGAAGTCCACTTAATGATTCGCACATAAGTTAGCTGTGGCTAGCACGACAAAGTGCTACGGTTTAGTATTTATGACGAACTAAAAGTATGCACTAACTAAATCCAGCTCGAGGTATGCATATATGAGCGCTGAGCGCTTGAGACTCGAAGGACTTTTACTCGAAGGTTCGTGTTTGGATTTTCAACTTTCAGATCTTGCTTCTCCCGGCAGAACTGGCAAAACCATGTTTCAAGTGCCTCCATGCTACTATTATGCTATATAATACTACATCCTCCCACGGTTCTGCCTGTGGGCCCGGGAGTTCTGCCCACAAGACTATTCGAGGGCCACGGGCGTCGGGGCGATGCGCTGCGGAACTTCGAGAAACATATAACGAGTGGATAGAAACGGTACGAGTATTTTCTGGTGTAGATGTTCATTATATTTCACAGTTCGTGGTCCTAGGGTCCATTCAAATCGAGTTGCGCTGTCACAACGTTGCACCATAGCCTGAGATACCTCCTACTACTATCCTACACGATTTGATCCTGCATCTATATGGCAATAATCAAGTAAAATAGGACAACACGGACCCCGATCCCTGATCTCTTTCCGACACTAGCCGCAGAATCAACTGCTAAGCGTGTCCGTTTATGTACTATGTGGAACGAGGCTCAGGACAATTTAGAAGCATCCTGACTTATACTACTACGTACCGCGGACTCGGATAAGTTGACTCTCCCTCTAAAAGACGTACGCCGGACTAGTCACGAGTCTAGGGTCTAGGGACGACGACAGTATAACGCCGCCGCCCGCTGTCGTGTACAAACCTCCTGGTTGCTCCGAGTCAACTTCATATTTAAACTCCATTATAGGATAGTATGTATGCCCCATCCATCGCTCAATTAGCCTCTATTATCCATGTCCACACCTTTCCCCAGTGATGAAACTGCAACGCAGGCTCCCGAAAACGTCTCGCAACTCGTCAAAGACGCTGGAAATCCCAGCCTTGTCGACCTCTCGGATGCACTAGGTTTGCCCGAAGGTGGTTTTGACGCTTGGGGCACAGTGCTGGGCTCGTAAGTGCATCTGTCCACCTATCAATCACTGCATACTCACCATCAACCACGACTGTTAAGTTTCTTGATTCAATTCTGTGGCTTCGGGTAAGTTTCACTCGGCATCTATGGGCCCCAACTAATAACACGTTCCAGATATGTCAGCGCTTACGGTGTCTTCCAGGGCAAGCATATTTGTGAATTACCAAGTACTTGGACGGACTGACCACGATATGCAGACTTTTACACTCAAACATACCTAACCAATTCCACACCATCTGCAATCGCGTTAGTAAGATCTAGATCTACCTAGGCCGTTTCTTAGCTGCTAGTGTTTCTGACTTCTACCGCCGTGTAGCTGGATAGGAAGTGTTAATGCGTTCTTGATATTATCAGTTGGTATCGTGTCAGGAAGGATGGTCGACCAGGGCGCATTGTATGTGTGCAAGAAGTCCGCATAAAGATGTCCCTGATCATATATTTCCAGTTACCCTGTGATGAAAATCGGCTGTCTCCTTCAATGCTTCTTCCTCTTTATGTTGTCTCTAACGAAACCAGATGGGTATTATCAAGCAAGTCTTGTTTCTGTTAAAGCGCGGCTTCGTTGACCGTATTGTTGTGTATGCAGATATTTCTTTCCCAAGGTATCGGTCTCGGTATTGCAATAGGCCTCACAAATGTCCCGTCCATCGCCATAGTGTCGCATCACTTCCAGCGACGCAGAGCTGTTGCGATGGGAATTGTCGTGGCAGGGTCGTCACTGGGTGCAATCTTGTACCCCGTCATGCTCAACAATCTCATCAATGGAAGACTTGGCTTTGCAAATGGTGTCCGTGCAAGCGCAGCCTTGAATGGCGGCCTACTTTTTATCGCAAATCTCTTGCTGCGAACAAGGCTTCCACCGCAACCAAAGGCCGTCAGCTACACCCGCGTTCTGCGAAACTCATCGAGAGATGGCGCTTACATGTGTGCTTGTGTAGGGTGCGTAAGCTTTGCAATACTCGATTATATGAACACTAAAGTTCCTTTCACTGGTTAGTATGGCTGCTTTTGAATTTGGGTACTTCTTCGAAGCCTTTTATCTTCAGTTAGATTCCACCCTGCATGGTCTAAGTCAAGGATTTTCATTTTATTCAGTGCGTATCAGAGACTACTCAAATAATCAAGAACTGCTTACCACTCCGACAGCTCACAATTTTTAGTTCTGGTGGTTTCATGGGAAGACTTACTGTAGGTTTTATCTCTGCCTACGTGGGCATCCCAAACACCATCATCGTCTCTTCATTAATATCCTCCGCTGTACTATTTGCAATGGTTGGCCTGCACTCGGCCACCAGTGTAGCTGTTATAGCTGCAAGCTATGGGTTTTTTTCCGGAGGTGGTGCGTAGGTTCATGATGCTCCTCTGACACTCACCAAGTTTCGACCCCAGTTGTAGCGATGATGGGCCCGGCGATATCGATTCTGACTCCTGAAATATCACATATTGGGTAACTATTTCACACTTGCCTTTGAATCTCTCTGACACTGCTCAAGTGCACGGATAGGGATAGCGTTTGCAATAGCTGGTAAGTCTGTGGGTCTATATTTGGCGACACCCTGAGTCTTGACACGTATTCACTATTCACAGGCATTGGATCACTCCTGGGCACGTGCGCTGCGTACCTTTTCTCGACCGTCACTCACGCTCAGCTTAGGTGCACCGATTTGTGGAGCGTTCTTGACGTCTCATTACATTTGGTGGAAGGCTGTTATCTTTGCTGGGGTGAGCGAACCATGTCAAGCTGCACTGCTGGTTTTTGGCTAACATACCGTCTAGAGCGTCGCTACTGGCGGCTGTATCATGTTCGTATCTATGCAATTCATCTCGGAGATGCGTCAAAAGTCTTCAAGTGTTTGCTTCAAGAAAGCTGATGTCTGATTTGTGTCACCCGAGCATGTATTTCGCATTGTACATGAGAGAATCTCTATATTTATATACCGAATATTAACAACGTTCGGACGCGGTGATCCGCGAGCTGTATAACGGAGGAAAAAGTTATAGTATGAATAGCCAATACATGAGTCTGTTTTCGATCGACGATGCTAGTGGCGCTTGCATCCGTCCGGATGGCGCCCATGTTGATTTGATATGATACGACCCCTCCATATTCCCATCTTCATCCTCCTTCACTTGTCACTCGACTCCCCTCGCTACCCTTCGCCCATGTTGTACATAAGTACTCACTGTCGATGGGTTGCGATGTAATGAGAATAAATGTTGCTAACAACGTCACGAAGTTACATCGACGCTACTTCACTACAAATATGACACGTCCTAGTTTTATATATAGATCCGCATATATAAGATTTGATTCCACAGTACTAAGGCGACCGAGGGGTGATCATGGGAAACGGAACTACATGGTATGATATTGCAACATACGTCCGCGTACGTGAAGATGAAGCTACGATACTAAAGTCCCTGGGAGTCCGAGTGGAGCCGCTGGGCCACATCGCGACAGAAGCTGATATAAGACATGATGAACGTAGGTGATATAATTTTTGACGGGGAGACAAGTACGCAGGTGAATGAGAACAAGGGACATGCACAGAATTATGAACGACGGCTTTCAACCTATGTAAAGTGTGAACGAAAGAGAGAAGACTCGTTAGAAAAGTGAGTAAATGCATTTTTAAAGTGAATAAATCAATTTGTGACTGGTTTTCGAATATTAGTATATGCAGGGGGAAGCTCTACGGTGTCTGGCTGGCCCTCGGCCTGCTCATCTGCGGCGCCTGCGTCGTCGTGCTGAATGATGTTAATAGGCCGGAGCTGTCTTGGCGTGGGAGATTTGCGGGAGCTGCTTGGGATTGTACCACCAGTGATACCCATTTCATAATCAGGCGTTGTAGATCGCATATCGCTGAAACTCCCGAACGTCGACTGTCTACGGTCCGAGGTGCCGTAACGTGAGCCAGACATAGCTGTGCCAGCTCTGCCCTCTTCACCTCCAACCATAGGAGATGTTTCTGCCGGCTCAGTGGCGAGGAAGGGTTCGGGACGGTAGTAATTTCCGAGTTCACCAGGTGCTAGATCATGATCGTCTTCTGGATCACCTTGAAAGAGGTCGACGGGACGTTCCTTAGTGACCTTGGTGGCGGTTTTACGACGGATAAAGTAAAACCCTGCGAGCGCAATGATGACGAGTGCAGCAAGGCCACCGATAATGCCACCTACAATGCGTGAGACGAATGTTTAAGGAGCGGGTGTGAAAAACCGAGCTTACCAACTATTGCCCCGACATTGGTTTTGCTGTGGTGGAGATGGTTAAAAATAGCCATCCAGGTGGTGAACAACATGGCCTACCTGCTGCTGCTGCTGCTGCTAGTGCCACTACTGGTGTCTGTACTGCTGGGGCTAGTTGGGTATGTACCACCTGCGGGAGAACCGATAGTGGATGAGGGCGAGGTGGTGGTTAAACACGAGCTGTTTGGAAATATGCCTTGTGCGACGGTATACAGCCCACTTCCTCCTGTACCTAGCCCACGGTCGTCTCCGGCAACTATCATGAGGGTGGTGCCTTCGCGGACAGAGGGTATCCAGCTAAACCCAGTGCCCTCGTTAGATACCTGTGTTATCGAGCCTTCGGGAATTGAAAAGGATTGTCCACCAGGGATGACACCTTGAAAGGATGGAGTGCTGTTGAAGCATGTTGTTTGAAGGAGGCTGGTATAAGGGAGAAAAAAGCGTACCCTTCGACTTGTGTAGGGTCCCACCACAATCTACTTGCATTGCATTGTACGACCTGGTTGGTAGGGTATATGTTGAATGGAAAATCTGGCATGACGGTTGTATTTGGGTTAAAGCAACTGCTGTCGGTACTGCTCATCACATAACCAGCAACGCTAGTCCCGCCAGATCCAAAACCAGTGCTATCGCTGACCTACATACTTGTGAGCTTATAGACGAGACGCGTCAAAAGTGAAGATACTCACCACGGCGACGAACTGGGATGTGGACGGGTATTTGAGTTGGAAACTGGTGCTAGTGGAGCTACCATCAAACTGTTGATACACAATGGTGCGGACCTCTGTGTTATTTGGGAGAGGTGTGGGGCCATATGGAATAACTAGAACACTGTATGGAGGAGAGCCAGAGCCAGATATTTGTAGGGATAAGGTGGCGCATTGCTGAGGTGTGGTAGTGAAGGACCAAGTGTAACTGGAGACAAGAGGAGAGAAAGAGAGAGCCAGTTGCGATGCAACGAGATATCGGTGCATTGTCGACGTCATGACCGTCAAGTCGTGACCTCAAAAATCTGTTATCAGACTTTGTGAAATTATTTCAAACTGCTGGGTTCATTCGTAGAGGCGAGAAGGACTTGTAACGGTGGACGCAGAGCGTATTTTAGTTAATACTCGGAAGCGGTGTGGAGAGCCCGACACGCCACAGCCTGTCGTAACCAGTGAAACAACAATATAAGCGCTCGCTGTCCGAAATTACGATTAGCTCACTTAATCGCTGTCACGCATGACACGCACGGCCTCCAGTTTTGCACTGACCTTGCTATGATAATGTCTAGTATTTTAACCACTAATACAACGAGCATTATGGAGATACACCATATTAAGGTTATCTTAATTCCCACGCATCACCTTCTCGAGATCGACGCTAGAGCCTTGCCGGTAACTTCTTGCTTCCTCTCGCCCACAACACTACACGCTGTACCAGTGCATTCTACACACCCTTCTCTACTCGGCCCACTATTCATCTTTATATTTTTAACCGTTAATCAAACCCACAGATACCTATTATAATGACTTCGATAGTCGACCAACCCCCTCGTGCACCCCCCATCAAGTATACCGCTCATCTAGGAACTCGCTGGCAGAAAGAAAAGGCTGCCGCAGGTCACGGCGCCTTCGAGTTTCCCGAAGATCCAAGATATATCGGTCCAGTGGATCATCGGCGAGTGCGTCGGCAAAGGTGCAAGTGGTCGCGTCCGCATCGCAAAGCACCGTCGTACCGGCCAACTCGCCGCAGTCAAAATTCTTCCCCTTCAACCACTAGTCAACTCCCGTGCTTCCCTTGCCACACAGCAGGCAAAATCAGAAAAGCAGCGGTTGGGTATCGATAGAGAAATTATCATGATGAAGCTCATGAACCACCCAAACATCCTCCGTATCTACGATGTATTTGAAGGCGAGAAGGAACTTTACCTCGTCCTCGAGTACGTAGAAGGTGGCGAGCTCTTTGACTTTCTTGTCAACCGCGGAAGGCTCCCTCCTCTAGAGGCTCTCTCCTTTTTCAAGCAAATTGTCTATGGACTTAACTATGCTCACACTTTCTCTATCATTCATCGTGATCTTAAACCCGAAAATATCCTGATTCACTCACTAAAACCGCCACTCATTAAACTGGCCGATTGGGGCATGGCCGCCTTTGCCCCTCCTGCCCTACAGCTCGAGACTAGTTGTGGAAGTCCTCACTACGCAAGCCCAGAGATTGTCAACGGTCTGAAATACAGAGGCAATGCCACTGATATCTGGAGCTGCGGCGTTATCCTCTTCGCGTTACTTACCGGCAGGCTTCCATTTGACGACAAGAATGTCAGGATTCTTCTTTCTAAAGTGAAGGCGGGCAAGTACGATATTCCAGCCTACATCGATCCTCAGGCAAAAGACCTCTTAACTCGCATGTTGGTAGTAGATGTTAACCGTCGTATTACGGTAAGCGGTAGTTCTTTATTATTTTCAACATTATCAAACGCTCTCAGATTCCCGAGATAATGGCTCACCCCTGGTTCAACAAACCAACTCCGGGATTGTCTATGTTCCAGCTCCCTCTGTCGTCGAATTAGCTCTTCCCCTCCCGTCAGCGGCCCGTATCGACCCTGATCTTTGGAATCTCTTCGCGTCATCTGGGGGAGACATGGCGACATCGAAATGATCAAAGCCGACCTTTTGAGCTCACCAGGCGAAGGCACATTGGCTAAGGCATTCTATTTCTTGTTGCAACACTACCGCGAGCAAACTTTGAAGGATCATGGTATTATTCTCGATGTAGGCGAGACGCCTGTGTCTCCTGGCATGAAGGTTATTACAAAACAATACATGTCCCCCCCTCCAAAGAGAAGCGTCGATGCAGATGCGCATTCTTTACGTCTACAGAGTATTCGGGATGCGCCTCCCCCTCCGTCCCGCACACCATCGCCACAGCAAGCTGGTCTGGCGTCTCCTTTCGTTGACGGAGCTTTGCGAGCCCGACCCCCGTCCCCGATCGGACCCAGGCCACCTCGTGTCCGACCTATGTCCTCCCCGGCCCGTGAGGTCCCCATACGTCATAAGAGCATGAGAATTGGCCATACCATCGCTGATCCTGTGAATGCCCACCCGAGCCCCAATACAGGACGCGTGCATCAACCGTCTCCCTTCTCTATCCTCGAGCGAATCAGGACCAGCACAGTTATCACGCTCACAACCAGCAATGTTCCAACCTCTGACCGTTCCAAGCACACCGCCAATGGGGTCTCGTTTTCCTGGCGCTCCTGCACACCCCGTCCTCAATCCTTGTATTATCCGAGCTCCTATTCCAGTCTCCGCTGTTGCGAACGAACAAGTTTCAGCAAACTCGATAGAAGTCGATATGCAGCCTGCGACGGGCTCTGATCCGGATTGGGTGAACGTTCTTTCTGCGTGGCACACTGTGGCGCAGGGGCACAATCAGGAGCAGGCTTTCCATTCTCCGACTCGAGGATACAGCGAGACATTTGTTAACCGTCATGGATATGCCCCGTTGAATGGCCCTATGGTCGATTATGAGTATGACCGATTCTCCAGTGGAGCCAATAAGGAGAATCACGACCATCATAACTTCCGACAGCCTTACCGGGAGGGCAGCGATATCATGCAGGCACGTGGTGGGCTGTTTGGTGGTAGGCTCAACGAGGGACGCGTCGGTCGCGAGTTGCGCAATAGTGTCTATGGTGCTCGTGAGGTTATGAAAGAAAAGGACAAAAGGCACGACGTAAGGATTTTCTTTTCTCTGTTGCACTTAAATATTAACATCTTACCAGCCCCCGCGCTTGATTTGCACCCACAAGTTCACCCATCCAAGCGTTCCATCCTCGGCTCGCCACTCCAGATCCCCTCACCCGTCATGCCCTCTATCCTCGCCTCCCCTGTTGGCGAAGTCAAAGGCTGGTTTTCCAACCTCTTCAACTGGAAAGCACACACCTACGTGCTCTGTTCGACGGATACGTTGTACGCCACGCGCAATGAGGCTGTTCGCATTCTCGAGCACTTTGGCGTCATCGTGGGCCTTGAGGAGACGGATGGGCATGGGGTTCTCCGATGTCGTATGAACGACCTCATGGACACAATGTCAGGATCGGTCATACAGAAACCAGTTCGGTTCCGTGTCGAGTTCTCCTCGTCATCTTCGTCCTCGTCGTCTCCACGGTCCCCCACCCCTGCTAGTCCACGATTACCCATGTATCATGCTTCAGGACCGATGTCGCCTACGTTTCGATACGGGTTTGGGAAGCCGTCGTTAGGGAGCGGATTCACCTGCGCGATCCTGCTTGTGCAAGAGAAGGGGTCGTTGTCTAGTTTTAGGATGGTGTGTAGGCGGCTGAGGGAGGAGTGGGCGTTGGATGCTTTGCAGTCACCTGTTGCTATGACTGGGGCGTTTACGGAGCGGCTTGTGGTGTGACGCGGCGAGACTTGCACACTATGTCACTCCCTGTCTTTATTTGACGAGAATATCAGACGACTCGTGTACAGGTTATGTCATTTTACATCCGATAAGTTAGAATACGGTATCGGTACAAGAAAGATCCTAGAGTGAAATGAAACTACACATAAACTATACGAGTGATCAGAGTGAAAACAATAATGAGTGTTCGGAGACAGCCAGCCAGCGACCCAAATCATATAAAGTCCTAGATCAGCCTACACATCACATAAAATACTGGACAAGCCGTGGGATTCTAAACAATTGACACGGGCACCTCTGCAGGGTGCTCGCTTTCTGTGGCCTCGGCGGTATGTTCGCCGTCAGAACGCGCCACGCTCAGACGCATGAGGCCTGAACGGATGCTATTGAACATACCGCCAGGTGCCGGCGGCGCGGTTGCCAGAGGGTCGTCGTCGTGTTCATCCTCACGTTCATGCTCGTGTTCGTGCTCATGTTCGTCATCCTCATGCTCGTGCTCATCGATGGACGCACGATGTTCATCGTCGGATATATCCTTCGTCGGAGGTGTCGTTGAAATCCGTAAAAGCGAGGTGTAAGCTGGATATGTGCACGATATGTCAGGCGAGACGCAAGTAAGATATATGCAACTTACGTCGACGGCAGACGGGGCAAAACCAGCCTTTTGCCTTTCGCTTTCTGCGTATGTTCTGAGCGATCGTGGTGGGTACTGGAGCTGGAGCAGAGCCTTCTGTAGCTGAAGCTCACCGCCCGCAGGTGCAGTTGTGGTTTCTTCAGTGTGGATAATATTGCCGCCAGCACCGAATTCGACCATATTAATGGCACATTCCTTGCATGCGACGAGGTGGCGGCAAGGGAGTAGAATAACCTCGCGTGGGGAAGAAAGGCATAGTAAACACTCAGATGAAGGTTCATCCTCGTGTATAGGCGCTGCGGATGCAGACGTGGGCGGGTAAGTATGTGCGTCCGGTGTGGAAGAAGCCGCATGTGGTTGAGAGGATGAAGTAGACTGAGAGGAAAGACCATAGATCTCGTGCAAGTGGAACGTGTGAGGTCCAATCTACGAATCATAAAATGAAAATAGAGTGACCAGATACGAAACGCACCGTGGCTTCACGTTTCACAACCTTGACGACCCAAGACCTGGTGTCTTCTTTTTCATCATCGGGCGCAGTGCCGAACCGGACGACATGGAGGTATGTTATCTGCTCGTTGACAGACAGGTCGGTACCGCCCTCGTCCAACGCTGATAACCGGATAGTGACTCGAACGCCATCCTTCACCTCTTCTTTGTCCCCTTTCTCTTCACTTCCTTCAACTGTGGGTGCAGATACTTCTGCATCAACAACGGCAAGCGCGGGTCCTGATACAGACGTGCTAGTGGAGCGCTTCCGGAAATTGAATCCCGTAAAGCGTTTCCGGACACGGTCGTTCCTACTACTAGCAGGAGCGGAGGAGTCAACACTATCTGCTGCTCGGGACGACTCGGGAACTCCGGTAATCTGGGAAGAGACAGTCTCTGCTTCGATATGTTGGTGCTCAAACCTTCCTAATTCGAGGGTTGCACCTTCATCTAGATGCAATACTTTACCAAAACCACCGTCAACGATGGATTCGAAAACAGAGATGCACGAGTAGCCCGTGCTATCTATGGTCTCTGCATAGGGGTGGTCTGCAGGTAGCACCACACTAACGTTTATGCGACACTTGGCTGCGTCGCAATCGTATTCGAATTCCAAACCATGGTTATGGTGAGAATCAACTTGGTCCGGATCATCTCCCGATGAGATGATCAAAGGACATAAGCGGAGCGTGGGCCGCTTGAGATTAACCAACGCCTGGAGAGTAGTCGTTGGCTGTGAAGGCTGTGCATGAGTCAGTACATAAGACGGGACATCAGACGATGCTTGGAGCACCTCTTTGCTCCTTGTGATCCAGTTCTGGATAATATTTGAAGAGACATTATCTGCGGGAGCCTTTTGTCCCAAGGATTGAGCCCACTGGGGTGTAGAGCCGACGACGCCAATGTTGGGCCCGAAGAGGGTCTCCTGTTTCTTCTCCTTCTTGGATGAATCATCGTCCATGTTGATGATGACGGCATCTTGTGTATTTGTGCGAGCCATGGAGGTAGCAGTACGAGATGTGTGGGTATCGGTGCGAGCTAGGAAAGGAGTAGCGTGAAGACGACGAGTGCGATTCCAAGTTGAATACTGATTGTGATCTACAAGGATGATTAACAGGGATAGAAATGGACTAGCAGGGTTTAATTCTTACACCAAGTAGAGATGGAAGCCATCCTCGTGGGTTTAGGATGAAGAAGCGCAGCATATAGGCAACTTCCTCCTACTATGGGAAAATTCAAAAAGCCGATGGTCATACTGACGAATCACTGATCATTCTAAATTAGTCTGCTTGCTCTAACTATCCTTGGCTTCAATCTTCATGTACAACTTCACCGTTCACAATTAATTATCATGTTTCAGGCATGGGCATTCTTATTGCAGCATGTCATAATAGTATCATGGTGTGTGATAGGTAAAAGAAAAAAACAATGATGATGGGACTCAGAGCCTATGCCACTAGCGACACGACACCGCCAGCCTCCTTAATTTTAGCTCTGCGCACTGCGTGAGTATACTCTCAGGAATAAGGGAGTGTATTCAACATACTCTGCTTTCTGCGAGACAAAACGTGCCTTGACGATAAAAGGAAGCTTGGGCAGTCTGCTTCAAAGTCAGAATTGATACGAGATCAAAGTAGATCACGACTCACTGTCCATTACCAAGCACCTTTCCATAGCCATGTTGGAGGGTGTCAATGACAGGAACAACCTCAGAGTCCTCCGTCAACCCTTGCTTTTCCGCTTCAGGCACAAGCGCCCATAGTTTATCAACGTTAATGATAGGCCGCCATTGTGCGTTGCGGGTCAAATGGTAGTGGCGCATACCAACTTTACCGAAGTAACCAGGATGGTACTTATCGAAGTTGGTGCTGAGGGTGATCAAATTTAATTCGCTGCAAAGAGCCTGATACCAAATCAAACACACCGGTGGTGGTGCTGACCACCAGCGAGACCGCGACCTCCGGGATGTTTACGGTGCTTTCCAACACGACCATGACCGGCAGAGACGTGGCCACGGTGCTTGCGAGTCTTCGAGAGATGGGTCGGCATTTTCTGCAAAACCAAGCATCCAATATCAATAATCTGATGCATCCAAGTCGGGCCCCATGCATCCAGCAGCAAGATATCATCTCTCAGCACCACGACACCTCCATTCGACAGCTCCGGTCGCGTATAATCTCCTGCTGGATAAACGGGGCGTAATAAACGAGCATGAACTGACCTTGAGGCGCGAGTGTTGGTGTCGGTGACCTTGCCTCTAAGTTTCTCGATGCAGGACTGTCGGCGGTTATAGCGGAGTTTCAAAAGTCGGCTTTGCGCCAAACCCCTACCTTGTACCACCTTCACGGCCTCAATCTTTCAGGGCGTTGTAGCATATCCTGAGGTGAGTTTCATCATCAATCAGCACGCAAATGATGGCCTTAGGCACTACGTAAGGAGTTGCTAAGAAAAATCTTTCTAATGGACACAATCTGTTTTTCTGATACTTTTTATGCTTGTTTCGGGTTCTGACGACCTCGACCCCAGATATACGCACAAATTTGCTGGCCGAGACAGTGATAGTAGGTGCGAGCATAGGAGAAAAGCAGGGCTCTACGTGATAATTGGCATCGCATACTGTGTTGAATTGAACTATGTTCGTGACTACCGTGTCCCTTCCTC